AGCAAGGTCGAACAGAAAATAAAATTCATGTGAACGTATCATCAAACAACGCTCATGTCATTAATTAGAATTGGGAGCCGAAGCAAACAAAAAAGAGATAAAGGGTGTGCATGGGATATATGTGATACATCCACACCTTTAACAGATCAGTTTCCAGTATGATGTTTTTGTTTCATATAAGTTTAAATAAAATAAATAATGATATCAGTCTTTGTATTAACAGTCAATATATAACATCGTGATTCAATGGAGATCAAATCAAACGATAAAAATATATCATTAAGATTTTGTTATTGATTATAAATCGAATAGATTAATGTTTTACAAAATTTCATAATGTAATATTAAATAAACAATCATGTATATCAAGATTTATCATAAATAAAATACATTAGTATCTTGTTTTTATAAATGAGTATGTGTCCTTCTGGTTTGAATATAAATTTTTTTTTTCATTCTTGTAAAATTTACTGTGAAGTAAAAAAATTACTTTTGTCTACATTATCATAAATGACTCACTTCCGGCGATTTTAATGACATTGATGACGTATTTTCAGTCGAAGAAATTAAATATAACGTGAAGTGTTATAGTCTCACTCTATTTTAAATATTAATAAATAGAACGCAAAAAGAAGAAGAGAATAATGCATACAATGATATTATTTTTTCTAATAGAATAGGAGAAAAAATGAAATAAATAGAAACAAAAAGAAATAATAAATAGTCACATGCTTTCTCACAATTCACCATAGTTTGGGCTTGATTGCCATTGAGTATTATTCGAATTGTGTCCTTCGAATCTGCTCAACATCTGCGTCACAATTGTTTCAAGTTGTTTTTTACGTTTAATAAATTCATCGATTTTGACAGTAGGATTGGTGTCAAGCCATTTGATTTGATTTTCAACAGCATCTGTAATTGTTGTCTTTTCTTTCGATGATAACTCGTTGAAGAGTGAATTTGTATCTCTCAATTGAGTTCTTATTGAATAAGTATACCTAAGAAAAAAAAGGCACCACAATCAATTCATTTTATTTTTTAATTATTTGAATAGAATATTTACGATTCAAGTTCATGCTTAGCATTTATTTGTCGTGCAACTACTTTGTCTTCTTCTGAAAAGATTTCAGCAACTCTAACCATTCGATCAATTTGTTCATTTGATAATCGATTTATTTTGGAATTGATTACAATACTTTTCTTACTACCTCCAGTTTTTTCTTCAGCAGTAACCTAAAAATAGAAACAATAAATATATTTCATTTTGCATCAACGATATTCAACATTTACATTAAGAATTCCATTGACATCAATATCAAAACTAACATCAATTTGTGCTGAACCTCGTGGTGCAGGTGGAATACCGGTGAGATCGAATTTACCCAAAAAATGATTATCTATGGTCATTGGTCGTTCACCTTCGAAGATTCGAATACCAACGACACTTTGATCGTCGCTAACAGTTGTAAAAGGTTTTGTCTCCGTCACTGGAATACGACTATTACGTGGAATAATTTTTGACATCACTCCACCGTTGGTTTCAATACCCAATGTTAATGGATTGATATCCATAACAACAATATCACTATCGACGCATTCATCACCTGAGAGTATAGCTCCTTGTATAGCTGCACCATAAGCTATATTAGAGATTAAAGAAATAATTAATCTTTTCTTTGTATTTATTTGTCACTTACCAACTGCTTCATCTGGATTAATACCACGTGATGGTTCTTTTCCATTGAAAAATTCTTTAAGAATTTGTCGTATTTTCGGTATTCGAGTTGATCCACCGACGAGAATAACTTCAGCAACATCAGATATTTTTAACTTAGCATCTGCTAGAACGTTTTCTACTGGTTTCAATGTCGAACGAAATAAATCAATATTGAGCTCTTCAAATTTTGCACGTGTCAATATTTCACTGAAATCTTCATTCGAAGCAATCAATGATTCGATTTCAACTCTTGTTTGTTGTTCAGATGATAATATTCGTTTTGCTTTTTCAACTTCACGACGAATTTTTTCTATAGCATGAATATTTTTTCTTATATCTATCCCTTTTTTAGTTTTGATTATTTTTATAAAATGTTCTATAATACGTTGATCAAAATCTCCACCACCTATAGAATAAAACGAGCACAACACAATTAATTTTAGAGAAGAAAAACAAAAAAATACTCACCCAAATGTGTATCACCATTAGTAGCAAGTACTTCGAATACACCATTGTCAAATGTCAAAAGTGAAACATCAAATGTTCCACCACCTAAATCAAAAACAAGAATATTCTTTGCACTATCCGATTTCTTCATTTTGTCTAATCCATATGCAATAGCTGCTGCTGTTGGTTCATTAATAATTCGTATTACATTCAAACCGGCAATAGTACCAGCATCTTTAGTTGCTTGTCGTTGTGCATCATTAAAATATGCAGGTACAGTAACAACAGCATTTTTCACTTTCATACCAAGATATCCTTCCTATAATAATCGAGAGATATATTTTCTTTGTGATACCTAAAGAAAACTTACAGCAATATCACGCATTTTACCAAGTATCATGGCAGAAATTTCTTCCGGAGTAAATACTTTAATACCATAACCAATATCGACTTTTACAACGGGTTTATTTTTTTCTTTAATAACTGAAAATGGAAACGTTTTGATATCTGCTTGTACAGATGAATCATTAAATGTACGACCAATAATTCGTTTGATATGAAATATTGTATCTAAGGAACAAAATATATATAAAAAAAATAGTAAAAGTCAGAAATAAAAATATACTTTCAGGATTAGACGTAAGGATATTTTTAGCAGCATCACCAATTAATCGTACACCCTCAGGAGTAAAAGCAACACAAGATGGTGTAATTCTATTTCCTTGATCATTTTCAATTATTTCAACATGACAATTTTTAAAAACACCGACACATGAATAAGTAGTTCCGAGATCGATACCGATTACTGGACCAAGATCTTTTTTTGATTGTGCTGCATTAATACCAAGAGAAATACTAATAGCAAACAAAACAGAAATAATCATTATTGCATTCATCTGGCAATTTATTTTTGCAAGTAGTCTACACGTATATATATATATATCAACCTTCACTTCCTTTTATATGTCAAGGTAAGACAGGTTTTTTCCCAGTGAAGTTTATATGTATTGCATAAGAGTACGCAAATTTATCACAAAAAGAATAAAAGTAACCATATAAACATCCACATGTTTCTTTTTTTTTTGATAGCATAGTTACCTGAGGATGACGAAATGAGTAATCTTCTAGAAAGAAAAAAAAAAGAAGAATTTTTCGACGTTCTTATTTATTTACATCATATCACAAGCTATTAATAAATTATGCAGTACATCATCACAAAAGTTTGACTTTCAAACATTATACTGCATTCTTTTTTTCTTCTCGTTTATTTCTTTATTTTTCTTCATCAATTGTATCTCCCATATTGCTATTACTCATCGTTTTTCTATTCTCTGATCTTTCCTTTTATAAAAAAAAACAACGTCTCTTAGTCATCACATACCTGTTTTCTTCATCTATCATATTAATGTAGTAGACATAAATAAAGAAAAAAGATTGACTATCAGTGAAAACGCAAAAAAATATACCGCATTTTGCGCAAGGGGAAAAAGCAAAAATATTTCTATTTATACTAACAGGATACAATCGGGAAAAGGATTTGATATTTATCGGTTACAAAAGATTTAAATATTCTTGAAATTCTTATGAATTCTAATAGAAAAACAAATTCTGTATTGAATGAGTCAGTTTATGACGAATCTTACTTCGATAATGAAGCACATTTATATTCAAAACTGAGTTTTTGGACTTTTAAAAAATGCTTTATATTCTTGTCATTACTAGAATAGTTTTGAAAAATGTGATATGCGTAATCGACGCACTACGACCGATCTATAGGTACTTCTAATAGAACGCCGACAAAAAAATTGAATTCTAGTAAAGAATCTTGAGGGTATGGGTGAAAATGTGACTGATAGATTCATATATCATTCATAAACTCATATCCATACCTCAAAATTACAAATGTGCATAATCGTTTTCATCATTTTTTTTTCTTCTTCACAAAAAATGCATACTCTTTGTTAATAAGTTGGTATAACTGATAGAACTGTTTTCGGTGACACAGTATCGACTGAGGCACATGATAAAACTATTTCATATTTTTCTCTCTTTGTTCAAAACATTTCAATTAAACTGAATATTCAAGTTACTTATCGCATATTCTCATATAGTTGGTATCGCAAATGATGATGCTCAGAACTAATTAATTATACATTTGACAAAATATGTCTAAAGACAATCAACTACTTAATTGAGATTTTTATTGATGATAATAAAACTATGTATATTATTGGATTACAGAAATAATTGCACTATTCAACCGAAAAATGGTGAGAATGAAACTTGAACTGATCAGTTAAACCGTTCATCGGATATGTGGATGAAGATATGAATTTATGTTATTACAATTTGACAAGAATGAAGTCTAATTAGATAGATATTCTCTTACTGTATTATTTAAGCGATGTAAGATGTATGTAATTAAAGAAAGTTAATAATTTAATTCGAATACTGATGAATGTACTTTACATTATTTAGTACGACAGAAAAGAAAAAAAATAGTTTCACTTGTTATCATACATGCCATACTTGATATTTATGTTAAAATAAATGAAATTATTTTCGATTATTTACAGAGGATAACATTATGGTAGGCAATGAAAACTTTTTCTTTTGTTTATTAGAACTGTCGATTCATACGCATGCTGCTCTCTTTCTGTTTAAATATTTGTCTTTATTTTTTTCTTGTCTATAGATGCTATATGTCGTAGCACATGCATGATATTTTTTGTATATATGACTCATTAATGGTGCAGTCGAGAGAACAAAGAAAAATAAAAAAATATTTATTACATTTAGTTTCGAAAATTTACTCTTCTGTTTTCGTTGAATAATAATGGCAGCAAATAAGATTACAAAACAAGTTATACCTCTATCACCATCACGTTTTGCATTTGGTGGTGGAACAAAACCCATATCTGAAGTAATGTTTAATAAATATGATACGGATAAGAATGGTATAATGACTCTTTATTTTATTTTATTTTACCAATAATCGTTTATATTTTCTCATTTTAGGATCAATTTCTCGCGATGAACTTCGTTCTTTATGTTATGATTTAGGATATTATCTATCTGATGATGAATTAGCTTGGGCATGGACTATAATGGATAAAGATGGCAGTGGAATGATTGATTATAGTGAATTTGCTGAATGGTGGAAGACATCATCTCGTTTTGAACATTTAAAAATGCCGAATGAAAAGGAAGCAATTCTCTTATCTCGAGTGGCTGAAATATGTCGTTCACATGATACACATAATACAGGAACTTTAGATCGAGATCAGTTTACTTCTGTATGTCAAGCACTTACCCAAGAAGATATCTTGAATGCCAGTGAACATCAAGCATGTAATTTCGATGAAATCGATCGTGGTCATGATGGTCGAATTAATTTTAATGAATTAATTGCCTGGTTCAAAAATGTTGGCTTATTCGATATGTGTCAATAATAAAAACTTATAGAATATTCTGATGATTTTTATCTACTATTTGCATGTTTGGTTTTTGCTTCTTTCAAATTAAAGAGTTATAATTATTTCAGACATTATCTAATCTTTTAGCATTTGAAATACTGAGAGATAAATCTCTCACGACACTTTCGAATAGAATCAGACTGTGAAGTTTTACTACTAAAATATAATAAATTGAAGATGGCACTCACACCTATCCCTCATTTACACATAATGTTCCACTTTAACTGATAAAATATTTCCTGTAGAAATTGTTTATTTAGTATTTTCTATTTTAATTTTTTTCATCAAAGAAAAATAATAGTACATTCAATTATCATATTATATAAATATAGAATTTCTTTTTTTTATTTTCTTTGTTCCTCTAGTTTGTTTTTCCTTTCACTCTATTTTTGCACTTATCTTATTGTTGACAGGAAGAAGTCATTTCAGCAATTTTATTATTGTAGTCTTAGTATGCAAGTACACACCTTTCTATTTTATTTTAAAAACAAAAAAGGAACATTTTCGTACGATCGATCAGTATTTATTTCGATAGAAACTTTTTTCCGATTTATTATTATTAGAAAAATAGTGTTGAACATCTAGATTGTTGTTTTTATTATTTTATTCTGAATGTACTTTTACGAGGAAAAAAAAAGAAACGTTAATAAATATTCTATTTATATAACATCGCTTCGGTTATATTACCAGACGTAAAGGAAAGAATAAAAAAAAATGTAGCAGTCAAAGAATATGTAGAATGGAAGTAAGATCGTCAATTGTAGTTTTTCACAACTAGAAAACTCATAATTGATTTAACGTTGATAAAGATGTATACTATATATATATATTGTTTTAGTTCAATAATCATATATTAAATTATGAAGGTGACCATTCTATCAGGACCCGATCGACCAGATCTTTTGAAAGATGAATGTCTTCACGATATCTTCCTACAGACAGTTGCACGTTTTCCAAATAAAATCGCTCTTCATTGGCAAAATGAGAAAATTACTTATGGAGAACTCTATCAACAAGCTCATCATCTTGCTTTGATACTACGTGAAATAAAACAAATCAAATCAGGTGATATTGTTGGTATTCGACTATCGCGTTCGGCACAATTACATATAACAATTCTTGCCGTTTTAATGACTGGTGCTACCTATGTTCCATTCGATGCAGATACTCCAAATGAACGTGTAAGAGAAGTAATTGCTGATCTTCAAATTGTTCTTCTTCTAGTAGATTCTCAAACCTCAATTAATCATCCATTAGCAGTTAATATTGAAGATGTAAGAACAAATTCATTGATTGTTAATAGTACTCATTCGTTAGGGGTATATACGGATAATAAATCAGCTGCATATATCATCTGTACATCCGGTTCAAGTGGAAAACCTAAAGCGATTGCTATTAGCCATCGAAGTATCTGTCATTTTATACGTGCTGATAATGAAGTGATGCAAATTAAACATGAAGATATTGTTTATCAAGGTTCATCAGCTGCATTTGATATGTTTCTTGAAGAAACATTTCTTTCATATTTTGTTGGTGCAACTCTTGTCATTGCTTCGAAGATGGATATCTTAAATAGTGATCGATTACATCTTTTCTTTATTCATCATTCGATTACTGTACTCTTTTGTGTGCCTACATTATTATTTCTTATGAATAATGATTCAGCACTTAAACTTCGTCTAATCAATACGGGTGGTGAAGTTTGTTCACAGGTACGTAGGATAGATGAATAAATCTACATTTTAAAATTCGACTACGTAATATATCTTTCTATTTTAAATTAGATTCTTGTTGATCGTTGGTGGAGAGATGATCGAATACTATTTAATTCCTATGGTCCTACAGAAATAACTGTAGCTGCTACAGCACAATCACTTCGACCAAATCAACCGATTAGTATTGGTGTTCCATTACCAAATTATGTATGTTGTCTACTTGATGAAGATACGGGTCAACCGACTTCGAAAACAATAGGTGAACTATGTATTCGTGGACCAGGCGTTGCTATGGGTTATGTCAATCGAGAATCATTAACGAAAGAAAAATTCACTGAATATGGATATCGTACAGGTGATCGTGTATCAATTCAACAAGGACAGATCTTTTTTCATGATCGAATCGATACTCAAGTAAAACTTCGTGGATTTCGTATAGAACTTGGTGAAATCGAACAGGAATTACTTCGCCTAGAAAATAAAGCTAGATCAGCTGCTGTGATTATTCTAAATGAACAACTCATTGCATTCGTTGTCACTGAACTCAGCGAATCGATTATACGAGAAGAACTTAGACGACGATTACCTTCCTATATGATACCTGATCGATTGATAAGATTAGATAGGCCAATGCCTTGTCTACCTAGTGGAAAAATCGATCGTCAATCTCTCATTACTCTCTTACCAACAAATCATATCGAGAAATCGAAAACCATCATAACAACAACGGATTTAGGTAAGATAATTTATCATTGAAACTGTAATATATTTTACATGTATATTTTAGCGAGTTGTTCTACAAATGAAATCAATATCAATATCAATCCACTCGATATTGTTCTCAGTGCCTTTCAGAAGACGTTTCCCTATGCACACCCAGCAGCAAATGATGATTTTTTTCTTGATCTCGGTGGTCATTCTTTAACTGCAGCACTTACCATAACTGAACTACGTAAATCATTCCCGAGCATTGCTGTATATGATTTATATAAATATAAAACTGCAGCTAAATTAGCTGAATATTTAATACAATTTCCTAATGATAAAAAAGAAGAAAAAACTTACAATGATGCTATTACTTTTATTAAACCATCATTTACAAGAATTATTCTCTGTAGTACTATTCAAATAATAGTTCTTATTATTCTTAGTGGTATAGCTTCAATGGAATATATTCTACCTTATATTATTTTCACTTTAATTTTGTCCGAACATAGTATTATTTGTGCATGTTTTGGTGCCTATGGAATATGTGTTATTGTACCATTATTTCGTTATACTTTTGCTATCATTGTCAAATGGATTATTATTGGTCGATATAAAGAAGGTGATTTTCCTCTATGGGGATCGATGTACATACGATGGTGGATAGTAGAACAATTACGAAACATAGCTGTGCAACAAACACTTGCCGATAGTCCACTTATGAATAGTTACTTTCGTCTTTTAGGTGCTAAAATTGGTCGAAATGTTCATCTTAGTTCAATTCATTGTGCAGCTCTTGATCTATTAGAAATCGATGATGAAACTACTATATCATCGGATGTTCATTTTCAGACTGCGTTTGTCGATGATTATACATTAAAATTGCGTCGTATATATATTCAAAAGAATGTCTATATTGGAAGTCGTAGTGTAATTAGCGGACAAACAAGAATGGAAGATTATGCTGAATTGAATGATCTTTCATTTCTTCCACCAAATACATGTATACCTTCAGGTGAGGTATGGCATGGTTCACCAGCCACCTATTCACATCAGGCTACTTCGAAACCATCCTTCATAGAAACTACGAATAATAGTTTGTCATCGACATTAACTTGGTTTATCTTTAGTTTAATTGTTTTACTATTGATACCAATGTTCTATTTTGCTCCAATAATTCCAGGTCTTATTCTTTTTGAATATATCGATATTTCGTCTGTATCAAATTGGATTCAAATTTTCATCTTTAGTCCAATCGTTGGTATTCTATACACATGCTTAGTAATTGTACAAATTATTATTGTACGTTATGCGATTGTTGGTACTTTATCAGTAGGTGTTTATAGTACAAAATCGTTGGTTTATATACGAAAATGGACATTCGATCGACTTCTCGATATTGCCTTACATGTTATTCATACATTTTATGCCACACTGTATATGACACCTTTTCTTCGAATATTAGGAATGAAGATTGGTCAACGTTGTGAAGTATCAACTGCGATTGGAATGGTTCATTCATTAGTTAAAATTGATGATGAATGTTTTATAGCTGATAATGTGCTTCTTTGTGATCCAAATATTCGATTTGGACAAATGGAATTAAAAGAAACAACAATTGGTAAACGTGTTTTTATCGGCAACTCAGCCATTATTTCCGATGGGAAAGAAATACCCAATGAATGTCTTATCGGATGTATGTCTTTGTTAGCAGATGAATTACAAGAGAAACAATCATGTCTTGGTTCACCTGCATTTATTTTACCAAAACGAGCAGAAGCACCATCTGATATTTCAGAATATTTTACATACCGACCATGTGCACGTGTAATTTTTCAACGATTTTGTATCGATACAATACGAGTATTTTTACCAAGAATTATTATTGTCTTGGAAATTGGTATAGCTATTGAAATTTTTGAAAACTTTAATGATTCGATTAGTACATGGTATTGTCTTCTCATTCTACCCATTTTATATATTGCTATACTTGCTATTCCATCGTTACTATTTTGTATCTTTTTGAAATGGGTCATAGTCGGAAAATATCAAGAGAATCATTATTCATTGTGGAGTTGGTTTGTTTGGACATCAGATTTTGTTACAGCGACATATGAACAGTTGGCTGCTCCTCTTGTTCTTGAACTTCTTCAAGGAACTTTCTTTATAGCTCCAGTCTTTCGTTGTTTTGGTGTTAAGATCGGAGAAAATTGTTGTATTAATACTGTTCAAATAACAGAATTTGATTTAATCAATATTGGTAATAGAGTTGTATTGGACAATGGAGTTGAACTTCAAACTCATCTTTTTGAAGATCGTATTATGAAGTTAGGTGCAATCTATGTCGAAGATGAGACAAATATTGGTTGTGCATCAATAATGTTACCAAATACTCGACTAGGTTTACGGGCAAAATTAGGACCTCTAAGTTTAGTAATTAAAGGCGAAGGTATTCCTGCTCAAAGTATTTGGCAAGGTATTCCAATACAAAAATAGAAACTAATTCAGAATTTTAATATGCAAACAAAGATACATTTAAATATATATATAATCTGTTGCACGATAATAAGTTTGCTTTATTGGTTAAATAAATAGCTAGAATATGGGTGACATTGAAATATTATTTATTAAATTTTTGAGTTTAGACTTATAGATAAATTATCTTAAAAAATTATTCTTGAGCTTTTGATGGGTCTTGAATGTTAACCGTAAATTGTCAAGACCATCACACAATTACATGTATTTAAATCTATAATTCGATCTTAGTCTAATTAACTAATCTTTGGGCGATCACCTTGACAAAAACATATCAAAATGTTACGTCTAATTCGTGTCAAAAAGCTATTCTTTGCTCTTTTCTGTGAACTAATAATCGATGGTGATCTTGAAAATATGCGCCATATCCGATGAGTTGATTTTCTTGTATTGTTGTCGAATCGATATTGATTATCTGTAAGAACATATTGTTTTGTATTTAATATATTAATTGATATGAACTGTTCAACATTTGACTCCGATAACGATACACATATGTTATTTCGATTAAATAACTCTAAATTGTTCATGTGTTGAGAATGCTGTGATTTGATGCTGCCTAATTCATATTTTTCAAGTAGATTCTGACATGAACGTGTTTGTCTTATATAGTCGACTGTTTCAATAATCTGAATGTCATGTTTATTATTAGGTAACAATATATTCTGACTATTTTCAAGCAGATTATCTTGTTCTGATACTGATTCATTCATTTCAAATGATTCTGGATCTAAACCTTTCAGTTCTAAATATCGAGCCAATGTCACAAATTCATCTTGATGTTTATCAAAAAATAATGCTGTAGACTGCTCTATTAACGAAACTTTTGTTTTACATTGTTTATGATGACGACGTCTGCACTGTGCATATTCAATTAAAGGCACAAATGGTTTCTGAGATTTATTAATCGACGATATAATGAATGGTTTACTCTCTTGTTGTTCAGTTGACGTTGACATAAATTTGTGTATTCCAAGTATTCTTCTATTGAAAAACTTCTGTTTCATATATTCGATCATTTTAATAGCACGAATTTCATATTTATGAGTGGATAATGTTGCAATCTGAAGATATCGATGTAAATTATTTTTTTGTTCTGTAGATAATGAAATATATTCATCCATTTCAAACCATTTAGGATCTAAAGCTTTCACTTGTATATTTCGGTCTAGTGTAACAAAATTTTCTTGATGTTGATCATTAGATAATGCTATAAAGTTTTGAAGTCGAAACGAATTACATTGTTGATTCCTTTTACGTAATCTAGAATCACATTGTTTACGTTGTCTATGTATATTATCAGTTAGTAATGTTAATTCTTGACGTTTAATCAAACTATATGGCTGTTCTATTATTGATTGATCAGTTTTATTGAGTTCATAACGTAAACGTCTGCGTTCTGCATATTCAGCTAAAGTCATATGAGGTCTGTCATGTTTATTGTTCTGTAATGTTGTAACGTGTTCACATTGAGATAAATTATCCTGTTTTGCTAATATAGACAGTCCAGTTTGATCAATTTTACTTCGTTCATGATATAGACTTTTTTGTTGTATGCATTCAGTCATTGAAAACAAATTGTTGATTTTATTTATGGGAGATGTTATACATTGATACATATTGTAAACTTGATGGTTTAAACGTTGTTTTTGCGCATATTCAGTTAATGTCATCAATCGTCTGAAGTATGTGCTGTTATTAGATATGATTATGCGATCATTTTTTTCTGGTAATAATGCATCTCTCTCAGAATCTGTAGATATCATCGATGCCATTACATCTTTATGCTGGTATTTTAATTCACATTCTAAATTTGAATTAATGAAAGAAAATGAAAATTATATACAGTTCTCATATAATAAATAAAATAACATACGTTAGTAAAACTTGCTCTTGACACAGTATGAATTTAGTTTAAACTAATAAGAAAAATATGACATATTTCTGTGATATCTACAAGGAGGGACGTGTTGTTCTATTTATATACTCTTTTCAGAATACTGGCATTGGTGAATTTGAAAATCTCCTGATGGGCAAACATGATTAAGAAGACAAATATTTCTTCAATAAATACAGAGGATTTATAATGATTTAAAAACGATCATTCACATTTCATACGTATCACTAATTAGGCTTCATGGGTATTAGTAAAGTTTACTAATTTAGTATTTTTGTCAGCTTAATTCAAAGAACATGAGAATAGTAATATATTAATGATGATCAATTATACTATTAGAAAAACGAACTACAGCAGTTTCTTATAAATAAACTAGTAAAAATGACATAACTGATAGAAAATCGATTCAAACCTGCTTTCATCAATTAGAATTCATAGAGATTGTATATGAACACATTTTCTATAACCTACTGTATGACCATACTTCATTATGATCAACTGATATCGTTCTGAAAGAAACGATGATATTTTTCTAAGAATATCTAATGTCGATCCCTTCCTTTCTTTGTGGTTATAAAATATCAAATTAGATCATGTGTTTTTTTGTGAAAGGAAATTGTCAATTTGAAATCTATACTTGAAAATCAGAATCAAAGCTGATCATATTCATTCTTAATAAAAGGAAATGATCAATTACGATATAGATTTATCGAAAAAAAACAAGGTTAATTATAGTAGTTCCGGAGTATAAGGAAATAAACCATTTGAATCTTGAATTCAATAATCGAAAGAAGCTTCAAAGAAATTCATTTATTTCATACAAAATATCTACTGTTTAGTTGAACGGTATTCAAAAATTCATCAGCAATTATATAGTGTAATCTTTTTGTATCTCATGAGACCGTCGTTTTAGACTAGGACAGAGAAGGATATTTTACCAGGTAGTTTAAATTAAGCTCATGTATTAGTAATTCTTTTTGTACTAAAATACTCTCGTAAAATGTTTTAAAATATCTGGTGAGGACTATTTTCTTGTCAATATTGAAAACTACAATGGTAAGATTAATTTATATCTAAGGATTCGAAACTCTGTTCTTTCATTAAATGCAGTAAATGAAAATATACAGTTTATAATAATATTGTTATTACGTTTGCAATTGACAAACTAATTGAAAGTTCTGACAATGGATAGAAATCCATCGTCTATTAGAAACTGAAGGTGAATGCTAATATTATAGTCACTACGAATAATTACAGACGTCTTGGAAGATCAACACAACCAGAAGCAATCGAATGTATATTACAGAATTCTTAGAGATTAAAAAATGGGTTCTCTTTCTACGATATGCATAATCAACTTTGGCAAATTCCATCGTATTGCAAGAAATACAGTTCACGATGGATTTATCGGCTAACTTTGCTGTTCGAATGATCCCACTGAACTTTATGTTTAATTTCTCCAACACATCATGCTATTCCAATCTTATGTGGTCTACAGATAAGATATCTAAAAAGACTTGTGATAATAACAGCACTGTTGACATTATACATGTGTATAAAGATAACAAAAGGATTGTTTTTCAATTGATTAAAAGCATATCTATGTAAACAAGAATTTTCAGATTACCAGTCGACCCTAATCACAAAAAATAATGCAAAACTTCAATATTTAATGAATTTTTTTCTAATATAATTCGTTGATATTTGTGAAAAAAAGTCAAAATAAATCTGCCGACATTTTATATTTTAAATTATATTATTATTAACAGTGAATTAAAGAAATGCAATTCGATGCGCCAAGGATCAATTATATACTTTACCTTTTTTTGTTTAAAACACTTGACATAAACAGTAATAAGAAAATTAAACTCTTTATTTCTTTTCTTTTCGTTTCCTATACAAAAATCAACAAAAAATAAAGCGTGAAGGAATATGTTCTGTTCTCAAGTGTTCTTCTTGAATATATCAAAAAGAGAACACAAAAAAAAGTCATTATAATGGCTTTTTCTGCCATTTGTCAATCGTGAAACTGTTTCATAATAATCAAATACGCAGACATTAACTTTTAAAACTTTTTTTTCTTTCTTCGCTCTACTTAGTAATAATGTTGTACGCCTGATATATCTAGATCTACGCTCGTTTTACTCGACAGGCTGTAGTAACGTAATCTTACTTTCATAGTTGATAATATTGAACATTTATTTATTTCACCCTCAAGACTTGAAACTCTCTCTCTATCTAACTCATACAGAAATATGAACTGAATGAAAACAAAATTCAATAAATTTTATTTAACTAATCGTGATGCTTATATAATATATATAGCGATTGATATACTTATCATTCGTTTATCGTTTTATGTCGCACGACCAATTACATATGAGCATTTTTCGATTCATCATTTTCTAGTAAATGTTATTTAAAGAGAATCTTTTGCAAATACTCAAACTATGTTAATCCATTCCCTTTAAGTGATGACTATTAATACATTAAATTTTTAATAGTTATTTATGAAACATGAAGATTGATAAAGCTACTTCTTTCTACACGCTCTTCTCACAAATATATCAGATTATATCCTGATCTACAAAATAAAAGTAGGTAAAAATTTTACATACGCAGATGTTAAGCTTTAAAATTTTTTCATTATATCTGAATAAATTTTTTCTAGAATCTTATGATCAGATCAAAGCATTTTCTCGAAAGATCCTTATTATATGTATATAACCGAACGCGAAAAAAAAGAGTGTATATCGCTTTATTAATGAAGCGAAACGGGAAAAAAATCGATGTATGTAAGAAGGACAATTGACGTGATCAGTTTTTTTTCTCTTCTAACACGAGAATGACCTCATTATTTTTGTACAAATCAGTGAACTTTTTTTTACTTCTGTACATATACAAACTCTTATTGAGATTGGTTACGACGAGTTACTATATTTTTCCTGTTCTGATCCATTCATATATCGTCTTGTTCTTCTTTTATGTTCTTTTTTTGTTCTATAGACACGATGTCCTTATCATCGACTCCCTCGATAAAAGAATCACCATTGGTTACTATTACACTATATGTGACCGAGTATACACAAGAGGTCATCGTCTAGTTTCTTTTACTACTCGTTCGAGTATTTTTTTTTCTTTTCTCGTTCTTTTAGATTTCTTCTCGTGACCGTCATTATTTGTTCATTCACAATCTTCGTCATGCCGACAAAAGCGAATAAGAAATATTCAGGTCCAAGTCTTTATAAGACTTTCGTTGATGCTTATATGAAAGCTCGTCCTGATGAAAAACGAGTTGTAAGTTAAAATTCTTACGACTAAAAATACGATATAATTTTATATAAAATAAATATAGGCCAAACATCATGATGCACAAATTGAATGGAATGAAATAAAATGGAATGAAGAATATGTTAAAGAAAAAATTGAAGAATATTTAGAAGTTTATAATCAATTAGGTGCACCAAAAAATGAAGATGGTGAAGGACCATCATCACCTGTTCCTGCACGAAAAAGTAGTCGTGGACGTCCGCCAAGAAAACCTAAAATAGTTGATGATAAGAAAAAAAAAGAAGCGGAAGATGATGATGATGATGATTGTAAAACTTCAGATTCAGATTCAGATGATGACGATGAAGAGCAGGAAGAAGATGAAGAAGAAAAGGAGAAAAGAAAAAAGAAAAGTTATTATGTCAAAAAACGTAGAAATTTTGAAGAGGAAATCATTGAAGATCCAACAAACACACCTCCTGTACCCGGTGTTCCATTAGAACCATTAGCAAAACTAAAACGTCAACCAGCACAAGAACGTATTTACAAAGAATTAAGTTCAATAAATGAACGTATTGCATCGTTAGTTCAAGTTCGACAAATGGGTTTAGCAACAGCTGAAAATAAAAAACAATTGAAACAATTAATGAAAGATCGAAAAAAGAAAGGTTATGAATTAAAACGTCTTCAATCAAAACAAAAAGCTTCAAATAAATATCGTGTTAAACGAAGAAAAATTGTATGAAGCAAAAAAAAAGAGAAAAACTATTGTTTCATTTCTAATTTTATCCTAGGTTGATCATTTATTTGAAACCAAACCTGAATTACATCCTCAATTAAATAAACTTTATCGTCGTGGTGTTGGTCGACCACGTGTTGAAGAACAATGTCCAGATTTATTACAAATTATAGAAGAAATAGCTAAAGTTGGTGGTGCAAGTGATGATCGTCGTCGATCAGAAACAATTCGTCCTTGTTTAACATTAGATGATTTGAGAGAAAAAATCAAACAACGAGGTTATGATATTAAACGTACAACACTTTATTATCGGTAAAAGAAAAATATAATTTCTACTTTTCTTTTTCAAAATATCTTTTAGTCTATTACCTCATCGTGCATCATCAATTGATGGTCGTCGTCATGTTCATACTGTACCTGTTCGTCTTCGTCGTGCTCAAAATGATGAACATGGTAAACATGAAGATGGACATTTTGCTACTGCAACAATTCGTTATATGAAAGATTTAGCATCTATATTTGGTAATGATTGTGTTTTTTATTTATCTCAAGATGATAAATGTAAAGTTCCACTTGGTTTACCTGCTGCAAGAGTTCAAGCACCAATGCTAATGCATTTGGATTATCGTATACGTTTACCCGATCACGATTGGACAGTTGCACCACGTCATCAATTGACGCCAAGTGTTTATGCAGCATGTCTTCTATCGGAAGATGGTGATTTAGGTTATTCAGGTCCAACTTATGTTGCTATACGTTCGGCTAAACATGATCAATCAAATGCTGATTCACATGCACTTGATTTCGATCGACTTGTTAATTTAAAAGAATTTGAAAATGTTGCACGTGATGAAACAGGACAAGTTAAACCCATTGTTATTGTTACTGTTGATGGTGGTCCTGATGAAAATCCACGTTTTCCAAAAACACTGGTTGCTAGTATAAGAAAATTTAAAAAATATAATTTAGATGCGATGTTTTGTCTTACACATGCGTAAGTTTATTTATTTATTTAAAATATATATAAAAATACGATATTCTTTTTTTTTGATTTTTAGTCCAGGTCAATCAGCTTATAATATTGTGGAACGTCGTATGGCACCTTTATCACATGATTTAGCTGGTCTTATATTACCACATGATCATTTTGGTTCACATTTAAATGAATCAGGTGGAACGATGAATATTGAATTAGAAAAATTAAATTTTCGTAAAGCTGGCCAAATCTTAGCTGAAACATGGAATCAAACAATTGTTGATGGTTATCCATGTATTGCTGAATATATTAGTCCACCAGCAACATCAGATGATGAACGAAGACTAGTTGATGCAAAAATAGTTATGGATGAAATTTTACGAAAGTAAATTAAAAACAAAACCGATATTTTTCTTATTATCGTTTTTTTTTCTTTGCAGAGTTTGTGAAGAAGAAGAAGCTGAAGAAGGACATGAATTTCGTATTCATGCAACAGATGAATATTATCAAGAAAATGCTCGTGCAGCAAGAGAAAAATTTGGTGAACAACATCTAAAATATGATCAAAAATATGATATTGATGAATATTGGTGTGCTATGCATGTTTTACAAACACAATATACATTACAAATTGTTCGATGTAATTCAGTTGAATGTTGTGGACCATGGAGATCAAATTATGTTGAAGTTTTTCCTCATCGATTTCTACCATCACCTGTACCGTTTGAACGAACACCCTATGGTGTTAGAATGGCAGATAGAGATTATCAAAAAGGACAATTTTATGGTTCATTATTTCAACGTATTCAATTTCATGGAGTTGTTATTCAACATACACAGGTAATTTATTTTAGTAACTAGAGAAAAGTATTCTGACTTAAGAGGTTTAGGATTAGGATTCAAATTCAAAAACATTATTTTATTAAAACCCTAGGTTCTGATTTAGTTTTACTTCAAAACTGACAAACTCTAATTCTCATTTCTGTCCACCGGCCAAATCTAAGAAAGACATGCGAAACGATAGAAACATACCATGTTTTATCCTTGGATAGAAATACATATAAGACTATTTGTCTTTCGAAAGAAACAGTTTTCTATGCACGGTCATCTAATTCATCTTCTCATTTTAGAATGAAATGTTACCATTTGATTATTGTTGTTCATCTGTAAAAAAAGAATTAAAAAAACGTACATGTAAAGTATGTAATCAATATATTCCATCTGCATATCGTATGAAAAATCATTATAAAATTCATGCACAACATTATGATGATTTTGATCATGATCAAGATGATACATTACCACCACCACCATCATCAACATCAACTACAACTGATACAACAAATTCTAATAATACACAATCAGCAACAACAGCACCTGCACCTGTATTTAAAACTGAAATGCTAGATTGGCTACGGTCAGATTTTGATGATTTTGATTTGGGATCAGGACCAAATCAAGCTTCAAGTGAACGTGTTACACGTAGTATGAAAAAATTACGTGTAGAAGAAAAAAAAGATGATGATGAACATAAAGATTGGGTACATGTAGAATAAAAGGAAGAACAAGAAAACATAACTAATAAACAATACATTTATGATTAATTATTATTTCAGTTTAGCATTTTGTAGTCTACTTTTCTTTCTTTCTTGTTTCCGATGTTGTTATGTGTTTTTTTATGCATAAAATTTTCTTTTTGTGAAAATATATTCTAACAAGTTTTTTCTTTTGATTTAAACAAGTTATTAGATAAAAAGTATTTAGGTGGAAACTATAGCTATTTAGAGAAGATGAAATGGAATATACCAAATGGGTTTTCTATCTTCGTAGAAAATAATTAGGGCGAATATAAGGAAGGAAAAAAACAAACATATGGTTAATATCTATATTATGGTACATTGTATGTACATGTCATGACATTGCTGAGAATGAAATGCAGTATTAATATGTACATATTTAAATCAAAATATTTCAGATAAATACCACCAAAATATATCAATACTAATAGATATATTTGTTTACATTCGAATTTGAATTGACGCTGTTTTTCTTATATGACTCGTATTTATATAAAGTACCCATTCTCAAGATTGAATTTGTTATGAAAGGAATAGAAAAGATAAATACTTACAAGTTCATATGAACTTGTATAAGACAAAGTCAAGTGATTTTGTATTTCATCAATGCTTTTCTAACTCTATAGAATATATATTTCCGTATTAATGATTTGATATTTTTGGTTACTCAGATTATAAATAGAATGAAATATTATTAAGATTTCAGATACATTTGTTGGATACTTTCGACTCAATTATCTATTATCATAAAATAGCGAATAAGCGCTAATGGGGTCATGTTGACAACATCCGAAAGAACTGTCTAATAAAATAATTGTCAAATATTTCTTGAAGACAAAATCCAACAAGCGGACTGAAAATAACAACATTTTCAACACACTCTCATTATGTCTATTCTATATATCGTATCAATTATTTTCCAAGAGAACTTGACAAGCATGCCTAACGGCTATTCTCCTACATGTCTATTTATTACATATTGAAAAAAGTATTTTAAACAACATTTTTATATACGTGAATTACGTTCAATAACAATAATTTTAATTTGTTTCGAAGTTCTATGATGAAGATTTCGTTGAGAATAAATTAAACGTTGTACTTGAGCACGAAAATTCGGTGTAGATATATAGAATATATAAAAACTAGTTACTGCATTTGTATAGAATAATATCGAAGAAATAACATGATAAAAATAAGTCAATGATGATTGATCTGAACGATTATCTGATATCATTACATAATATATATGTTCTATACAATATGGTATTGATGATAAAACTATAGCTAAAGATATTAATAATAGCATGCGAGAAAATTGTTTTTCACGACTTAAATGACCATTATATTTTACTCGTTTATTCTTATTTAATTGTTTAAATGTTAATAAACATACGATTGTTAGGAAACTTATTGGTAATAAACCACGAAGAATTATTTGAAATGTCCATAAATAATAATATAAATATGTTCTTGATGATATTGAACATTGACCAGTCCCAGAAACATCAAAGAAATAAGCTAATGGAATGCTATGTAAACTATATAAACAAGTAATAATAAAAATTGTTTGTTTTGTTCGTTTTTTTGTTGTACTTAATCGTCTTAAACGAGCTTTTCTTGATGATATTAAATATCTATCGAATGTTGCCATACATATACATGTTATTGACATTAAATCAGATGTATGTAAAATATAATAACGAATTCTACATAAAATTGCTACAGTATTACTTGTAACTGAATATTGAAAACCATCAAATATAATTCGTGTTAAAAGTGGATAAAGAATTAAAATTAAATTACCTATTGAAGCTGTTAATAAATAAAGTGAACTATTACTTGTTCGATAACTATTTGAACTTTTTCTTGTATGTTTCTTTGAACGTGACCAGATATAAAATACATATATATTTAATAGATTTCCTATTGTACCAAATATATACATAAAAATACCAATTATAATCATTAATTGATGTGAAATAAATTCAAGATGATTCATATTTAAATCTAGATAAGAACACAACAAAAAATAAGTAGTAATTCTTACTGCATATATATAGCTAGATAGATTTGTTATTGCAGGAAGGAAGGATACTCCTCCTCCTCGTTTCACGTAGAAAGAAAAGAAGAATGTTATAAGTAAAAGATGCGAGTCAACAAACTTTTTATGTTGATTATGAATCTTTCACGTACATGTCATATTCTATTACAAATTATATTTATCTTCATTTTTTAAAAAGATAATAATTAAATATAAACTTTATTCTACTGCATGACATTCATTAATGAATTAAAGAATAATATAGATTTTAAATCTTTAATATTATGACTCTAGCAAATCTTTATACTATTCGTCTATACAGGAAGGACAACCCCTTGTTGCTTAATAATGGTAGTTCCGATTAATTTCAATTGTTTTGTTGCACTCTATTATGTTAACATAGTGTTTAATTTCCAGTCATCGATTTCATAATGATTTCTAGTAGCAACAGAATTATTCTAAATTCTATACAATTAAAGTTTTTTATCGCAAGAAAAGAACATGAATCTTTATTTGATAATTATTATTTATGTAATATCTTTTTAATTATACTATAAATAAAAATACAAGTTCATTTTAAGTATTACCTACATGTTTAATTAGAAGAAAAGCTTGAATATATATATATATAATCTTGGTTTCAAAGTACTCATGTCACATACTTTTAAGTTTCGTTAACTTAATGGATATACGTCTGTTAAAACTAGTGCAAAAATATAAAATTAATTTTTTGCATTGTCATATTTATTCATAAAATATTACAAACTTTATATAGAATATAGGTTGCTATTAGAAAAAATTCACCGAATAATACGAACAAATGTAAATCTCAGCTTGTACATGTAATGTATAACCTAAAAAACAAGAGTTTTTAGTTATGATTCTCAGAGTTGCATAATACCATTGAGCAACGTGCATCAAAAACTTACTAATTTTTGTTAACGCATGTCATCCATGTCAGTAACATACTTCATATATTGAAGCAGCTTGATATTAATTTAAATCAGCTTTAACTGATGAACATCATGATAACGTACACCTTTTTTTATATATTCTCTAAAATAATAACAAAACTCTGTTTTACCATAGTTCTATTTATACTAAATAACTTCATAGAAAAAAAATCAAGTCATTATATCACGCTCGTACATGCTAATATATTTTCCTAGAATGCAACTTTTTATTACTATTATTATCATCTAATTGATAAACTATTTATGACTTTTTTTTCTTTTAATCATCTGTTTATATACATTGAATAATATAAAGCATTTATAATCGGACTATCGTAATCACGTTAAAAACGTATTTTCCTCCGTCTTATATAAACTCGTCAGCTACAAAAACTAAAGCACCCTTATGAATTTTATAATCATTGTATTTGGTTATTTTTATTGTCAGGACACTCTTTACCTATGATTTGATTTTACCATTTGAAATCAAACTAATTTTTATGTTTTTCTTTATTCAAGATAAATAAGTATACATAAAATCTATTTTCCGATTCCTCAGTTTTTTTGACCTGGGAACTTTGATTTGCACTTAAAAGAATTTTGAACTGAATACGTGTTTGGAATTAATTCTTTTGATCTGTTTAACACATATTTGTTCTTTTATTCCACATAGATCATTAAATAAATATTAACACAACGTCCAAAAATAGATGCATAAGATAAAACCATGGAATGTTAAAAATAATGGATAACTATAAACACATCTAATATCAATTTGTTTTTTTTATTCTTATTCATGTAAAGTAGATGCAGGATTTATCATACTAAATGTTTCACAATCAAAACGATGAGTATGGCTCTTACCAAATATTAATTGTCGAATATGTCTTCGAAAGTTCGGTGTTGAAATAAAGAATACATAAAAACTAGTTACTGGATTTGTATAGAATAAAATTGATGTAATAACATGATAGAGAAATATATATGAAGTTCGTTCTAAAGGATCATTTGGTGTCATGACAAAATATATATGTTCAATACAATATGGTATTGATGATAAAACTATAGCTATGCACATTAATAATAACATTCGAGAAAGTTGCTTATCACTATTTAATGTTCTAATTCGTTTTGTTCGTTTCATTTTTCTTAATTGTTTATATGTTAATGTACCTAATATTGTAAGAAATATAATTGGTATAATACTATGAAGACATATTTGAAATATCCAAAAATAATAATATAAAAATTTTGGTGAATAAATCGCACAACGACCATTATTTGAAACATCAAAAAATATAGCTATTGGAATACAATAAAAAGCAATCAAAATAATAATAAATAAAATTAATTGTTCTGCTCGTTTTCTAATTATAATCTTTTGTCTTAAACGTACTTTTCTTGATGATATTAAATATCTATCAAGTGTTGCTAGACATATACATGTTAATGATATTAAATCAAATGTATGTAAAATATAATAACGAAATTTACATAAAATAAAAACAGTTTCTTTTGTTACCGAATATTCAAAACCATCAAATATAATACGAGTTAATAGAGGATAAATAATAATAATTAAATTTGATACAGATGATACAAATAAATATAATGAACTATTACATTTTCCTTGAGATTTTTTTTGTAATCGAGACCAACGTAAAAATATTAGAATATTAAAAATATTTCCAATTGTTCCGAATATATACATAATCATACCAAGAATAATCATTAGATTTTGTGAAATATGTCCTAGTTGATGCATATTTTGTGATGACTATACTAGAAAGAAAATATTTATCTTCTGATGGAAAAAAAGATTTGATATTCATATGAGAGAAAAATCTTGTCTTAAGGAAAATATGAACACTCTTTGATATTAAATATAATCAAATCTCTTTTCTTTTGACATGAAAGAAAATTAATTCAGAAGATTTCTTATCTATTGAATGGCTTGATGAATGTAGAATATGTTTCTTTCCAGTAACTTCTTCAAATAATGAAGAAAAGCAAATTATCTACGGAAGACGTAATTATTGACGTTTTCTCCTTTTTTCTTATAAAAGGAATTTGTTTGTAATGCAAATAGTTTGATTTCCTTTGTTTCGATAGATTGTTTATAACCTTGACGATAATGTTGTCTATATATTCATTTCTACTGTTCAACCTCTAATGCATATAATAAATCTATATGTAAATAGATTTCCTTATTGAAGATGAAACGAAAGGTAAAGGATTCAAATAATACCTAGATTCCCTAGATAGAGATTGATTTGTATCGTTTATAATAATATTATATAAAGAAAAGAAATTTTTAATGTAAATATGAATTATTAATATTGAGTAAATAAGACGAACTAATAACAATTGCAAAAACTTCTGTATTAGTTTACATCAACAATTACGTCATTTCCTCCCATGTAAAAATAATTGCAGTGTTAACGAAGCCTCGTAACGTGAAAATCCGTTAAAAATTTTACGGCTTCACAAAAACTAATGTTAACTTTTTGACCTTCAAAACACGATAAAACTAGAAAAATCTAACATTGTTTAATTTGTTTACAATCTTTCACGCATGTTCTAACGTTAAAAACACAAGTTTTCATGGTCAGAAAGGTAACATTATTTTTAAGAAACTATTATTGTTTTGAAGAATTGTATATTAGTTTCACTTACCACTAAATTGTACAATTACAGTAATTTTCAAAAAATTTCTGAAACTTAAATACCATGACCATTTCCTGAAGTTAGTGGTTTCTATCCACTTTGCAGAATATCGCGATTTAACCGTGAATATGATAGAAATTGTGAAAAGTCTTCTGCAAAAGTTTCTTATAAAACATCCAAAATTATATACAACCCGACATAATCAACAAGTTATTCATTCTCTGAGCCATATTGGGCAAACTATCAATGATTATAGTCCATTAACTTGATACTGTATCTTTTACTTTGAAAGCATGCTAGATCTATATTTTTTTTCATTAATTAAAAATTTCTATAGAATGTTACCTAAGTTTAGGAATAATCATGATACTACAATTGATCGTTAACTTAAAACTTATATCGAAAATATGACGTCTGATTGTGGTTATTGTAATTTGCAATCAAATATAGTAAGAGTTATGCATTCATCGTCTATTATCGAAAGAATTTGTACTGTTCTCTCAAATCCACATCTTCGTTTTTTCACATCGTGTAAAGTTGGACATATGCACTATACAGCAAACCGTTATTCGAAAACCAAAGGTGCCGAAGATTCTGCAGTTATATTTCAAGTTGAAAATCAACTGTATTTTGTTTTAATTACAGCAATATTTTTTGCTTAAGATAATGAGACTCTGCTAGAATTATGACCAGTCACTAATTCACAGAGCTTGAATATGACTACAAATGATCAAGTTCTTATTGTACCGACTGTTCAAGAAGGAACATTAGAAAATGACAATAATTTTTATTACATTTCCATTTAGGATATCATTGAAAAATGTATATATTGGAAAAAAACAGTTCAGCAAAGTCTTTTTCTTTCGCTATCCAAATCTTGAAAAAAGTTCTTAGTATGTAATAGGTTTCTTTTAAATTTACTTTAATAAATATCTAATTCATTAGGAGATTAATATTAATATTATACTTGACTTTATGTACTAAACATTTAGTTAAAAAATTTTACCAGTTAGAAATAACAATATTTAAGAAAACGCATGAAGATATATAAGATATATAATGAGCTAACCATCATGAAAGGACTACTCACACACGTAGTTTCGTGAAAAAATTAATGAGTTTAAGAAAATTGATAAAAAAAATCGCATCTTTAAGTGAACTTATGGCAAACATATGGTTCGTTGTATTGATGATTAAATCGGTTAGAATCTATCACCGAATATGAATCCACTGCTGTATCGATTTATCTGGCAGTATTTTTGATTTCATATAAACACGATTTATCTAGAAAATTTCATTTAAATTTATGACTTATAAATAAATTATTCGTAACTGAATGTTTATTTTTTGTCTAATATAATAATTTTCACGATTAAAACGATTTTTTATTTAGATTTTGATACATTTCTATTTGTTAATAATACGAAATCAATGGATAAGTTACTACTTTATATCTATATAACGATTTATTAATAACTCAATTTCACTGAGTAAGGTATGAAATTAAATCACAAATTATTGAGCAAACAAGCTATTTCTTGAGCGATTATCAACAACCTGAAAACAGAACAAAGAATGTAAAATCCTAAAAGAAGAATAAATTATAGATTTCGCTAGAGATCGAAATAAATTGATTCAGTTTCATATAGAAGAAAATATATAAAATTATGCATAGATAGAACAATCATTTGTCGAATAGTATTAGTTCTTATCAATATACTCGAGACGTATGGTAGAATGTAAGCAAATCTTTCTCTTGAATGTCAGTTCTGTATAAAAATCATCATATGTTCTACAAATCTTCTCATTTGCAATAATGCAGATTACAGTTATTGATTAAAATCAATTATGTCTTTTCCTTGTGATATAGAAAATAGGACGTCGGAATTTTTACGATGTTGTTATTCATGTCTAAAATTATTTTCAAGTGCTCTTTAGACTAGATACGTCTGAACTGAATTTTCTAATTTCATAAAATTTCTGTCTATTTACTTGGATTTTTTCTATAAAAAGATAGTCCTTAAGATTATAATTAAATCTTGTCAACTTGATGACATTTATGATATACTTTAACAAAGTAGATTGACAGAAAATGTCGTCACATACAAAACGAATGACGTACGTGATGTTGAGATATCATACATATGGTATCGACTCGATAGACGTGTATCTGTACTGTAATTTCATAGTATCTTATACTTCGGCTAGATTAAATATCATCATGCGATATAATACAATAATATCATCTTGCTGAATATAACAAATTATGCCAAGTTCTTTCGTGACACTAAAAGCATTTTGACACATTGTATAAGTTCTTTGAGAACAATTCATTGTCTTGTGACCAGAAAAAAAAAGAATTAAACTTAGTTCTGAACTTAACATCATTGTAAATTCTCCCAAGTGAATTTGAATGTGATACTTAAGAAAAATGTTCTTCTTTTTTTTTTACAAGTCTTGCCTATTTATTTGATAAAAAGGTCAAGTTAATAAATAAAAATATATATTTTTTTTTTCTTATTTACAACTGAAAAAAAATTATCCTATACTATTGATACTGTTTAATATGGGAATTTTTTGAATCACTAATTGATGTATTTGGTGGTGTTATTGGTGGTACATTTGTAGTAAAAATAAATCGAGCTCGATGTTTTTTCGGTTGTTGAATAAAATTCAGAGAAAATTTTCTTTTTTGTAATTGTAATTTCATTTTTTCTTTTTCTTCTTCACGTTCAGTTTTTTGTATAAATGATAAACGATAATGAAATGATGTACGTTGACGATAATCACCATGTAAATCTTGTCGAGAAAATGTACGAGAACCAATAACTAATTTATATTTTGACATTGAAAATGTAAAAAGATTATCACGATAATGATTATAAGAACTCGATTTATAAGCCGCTGATCGTTGATATGGATTTGTTGTACCAGGATTTGTTGGTGTACGTGGTAAATTTCGATTATAATACATATAAGAACGTCCATTACGATAACAAGGTTTAGGAGTCACATTTCGCCAACGACATAATGTTCGTTTAAAACTATTTCGATATCGTCTTGACATTATATTATATAAGAGAGGATTTACAGTAGCTGACAAATAATATAAAATTCCTATAATTAATACAAGAAATTATTTCAATATAGTTATACAGAATCGAATTTTCGAGTAAAATCATCGGTTCAGACAGTTTAATTTATCAAATTTACACTCATTTTCTATATATATATATATATATCATAAAAGTTTAATGTTAAATGATGCTACTATTCCCCAATGTATATTCTGACAACAAAATGAATTTATAAATAAACACAAAACAGTCTATTGTATCCAAGCGTACTACCAGATATTTTCCAAATTCTAATATTTCTCTTAAAGTTAAAAGAACTCATCTAAAATATACAGACTGAGACAAACAGGAACTTTTCTATTAATAATTTCAACCGATATTATTGCACTTCCTGTAGTTCTCTAACTAGACGATTAAATCAATCATGCAATATGAATTATTTAGTAGAAAAAAAATCTATCGAATAAAAAATAATACCTGAAGCAAAGAAAAGTATTTCTTGAAATTTTGTTGCTGCATCGGATGTTATATTTTTATTTGCTTTATCTAATAATCTTGTAACAAATGCAGTTATACGTTGTGTATGAAATGGTGCCCAGCAAATAAAAAATGCAATTACAACCGCCACTAAATAAATATATTTAATTAAATATTCAATTAACGAAAAAACAAAAACAAATTTTTTGCTTACCCAACATTTTCAAAATTGCTCTTCTTGAATTTCTCATTGGTCGTGATTTTATTATTGATGCTGTATTTTGTCTCAACCAAAATTGTTGATGACGATGATGATGTAAAATAACATGTTCATGTTTTTTTCCTTCATTGCTATTTGATGGACGATGACTTGCTTTATATAACGTAATACCCATTAAAACATATAAAACAGTTATAACAAATATTGGTATAAGAAAAACGAGAACTGTTGTTACAGCCATATAATATAACATTGGTTCCCAATATTCAGGACGAATTGCACATATTCGACTATCAAGAATTTCAACAGTTACATTTCGAACTTCATTTTTAACACTAACAAAAACTCCTGAATGAAAAGTCAATATAATAAGATTATTTCTTCTATTTAAATTTTTTTCTTTTACCAGCAGTAAATGTGTACGGTACAGCAAGTAGGAATGATAAAAACCAAACAATCATAATCATTTTAAGTGCACGATTTAAACCACCTAGAACTTTTTGTGATATGATTGGAAAACAAATAGCTAAATAACGTTCAATAGTAAAACATAGAACGGTTAGAATTGATGCTGATGTTACAATTTCCAATACAACAGTACGAAATACACAAAATGTTTCACCAAATATCCTATATTAAATAAAATCAAGATGACTTTTTTTTTGTCGTAAAAAATATTTAATTATTTTACCATGGCCATGATTCATAGATATTATACATTTCAACTGATAAACCTATTAAAAATAAAGAAACAGGTATAGAAAGATTTTTTATATCATCTATCACTATCGATCATAAGATGTTTATCTTTAAGTTAATAGAAATATCATTTATTATAAGATAAACGTTGACATTAATATATGCTGACAACTAACTATATGGACAAGACTCTCGATGGAAAAAATGATATTTACCCAAGCTAATTAATAGTAAATCCGAAACAGCAAGAGAAAAAAGATAAAAATTTGTTGGAGTATGCATATCACGACTTTTCCAAATTGTAATACATGTACCTATGAGAAAAAAAAACGAAAGAAATGTATTTCAAAATAAAACAATTAAATCTTACAAAAATTTCCCGCAAGACCAGTTCCAAAAATAAATGAATAAAGGGATATAAGTAATGGAAAAGTAAATTTATTTCTTCGTCTATGTCCCAAAAAGTTAACAACACTTTTACTAAGTTCATCTTCTTCGATAATTGTTAAATTAAAACCTTTCGGTAATATATCAAGAGATCCAATCATTGATAAGCTTTAATCAACGAAATCTAGAGAGATGAAATAAAGATATACATATATATATATACGTACATATATAATAAGAATTGCTCTATTTGCTTTTCTAGTTACTTATATGACAGAAAACAAGCGTTTTTTCTCAGTTCTAAGTCAATACATGTCCGTTATGTTTCTCTTTCTTTTTCCTGAATGTTTCTGGAAACGACAATGTCATATAGACAGTTCTGACGACATAAATCATAGTATTCACAGTTTCTTTTTTTTTCCTTTCTCGTTATTTTTCTCTCTATTTATAAACGTTATAGATCTAATAATTTTATTCTCAATTCTTTCTTTTTCTTGTCTTTATAAAATTCATTCCATTAAATTTCACCTAGATCATAAAATGATATTAATGACATATCGAATTTAATTGTTCTTTACTCTTTTTCTTTTATATATTAAGATATCGTTAGATTATGAAATTTGATATGATATACTATCATTAGGAGTTTGTTTGATTGACGACCACACAAAAGAAAAAAAAAGCCTTATGCTGATATTTACAAAGTTATTGAAGCAATAAATTCGATATATATATTTTTTTCGTTCTTAATGATAATCATATTGGTTAGGGTTGTAATCAAATAATGGATGACTCTTTTTTTTAATCTAATCTATCCTCCGGAATAAAGTTGTAGATAAGAAATATTTGCACTAGAAAGTCATATAAAGGCAACAAAGTTTTACAGGATATTGATACACAGTTTTTTCAAATAATGTATACTCATGAATATCTTAGACCTACTTGTTATCAAATTAAGAGTTAGAGAATGATCTTTTGAAGTAATATTCACATGGTTAAATAGATTAACATAAAAAAGAGACAATCTTTTCGTAGTTAATATGCAAATATTTCTTCACAAACATTAAGTCAACAATTCTTGTCAATAGCATAATTAACCTTACGTCTTTGATATATTTATATAAATACAGATGTGTAAAGATAAAAATATGCTAAATATTCTTATTTTCAAAGCTAAAAAAAACCAGATTAGCTATTTCAACTAACTATAGATCATTCATTCTTTATTCAATATTTGATATACACAAAGGAATAATTTCAAGAGAACTTTCATCTTGATAGATTCTGACAACTGCTAATCGTATATAGATAAAATAACACTTGTGTCTGTCAGTATTAGTAGTTTGTGTTGTTTCATAATCTTTTTTTTTCGGGTTTTTTATTGATCATATGAAATGCTATAGAGTAGAGAAATAGAGAATAGTACTTTTATTCTTTATCTCATTTCCTGAACTGTTTTTTTGACATACTTCTTGAGAATTTATCAAGTGTTGAGAGATATTTTGACAAAAGAAACATTGTTTTTTTTACGGAAAAGACAAAAAGAATCTATTTTGTCAACACATAATACATTTTGTCAATAGTTATATATCATGGAGCTATTAATATAGAATAACAAATGTAAATTCAACTATTCTATACGTGTCAGATGCCTTTTACACATTTTTCTAAAAAACAAATAGAAAGAAAACTATCATTCATCGTAAGAAATTCTCGAGAGACATTGTTCACGAACGATAAAATTAATCATCACTAACAAAATGTCTACAAAAAAAACAAAGTATTCCTACTTTTAGTATGATTTAACTACACTAATGAATATATAGTTCTTATCAATCAGAAACAATGTATTTATATTAATACATCAATTCAACCGTATAATAAGAAACTAAATAGGCAAATTACAAAATATACGTACTTTATTTGTTAAGACATTATTAAGAATAATATCTAAAATATTTATTCATGACCAGAATGGACTTCTTTACATTTAATATTGAAGTAAAAACGTCATCAAAATTTTTTTTATTATTCGAACAAAAGTACGATATATCCGACAAACGGAAGTACAATTTCTTGTTTTATAATTACATATTTTCATTAACAAAAGTATGGTATATCTGTCAAACGATAGAAAACAGCATTATCATTATTATTATTATTATCTTCTAATCTTCTTTTATGAGTCTTGAAAAATATGATTTATATATTATTTATTCTAGTTTTGTCATATAACACATCATATGTGTATAATATGGTGTTAACCGGAAATTGACTTGCCTATTTACAAGACTGATGGAAACACTTGCATTGAGATAGAGAGAGAGAGAGAAAAAGAATGTTAGCCTTAAGGAATTCATCAGTATAGAAGAATCTCATGGTACTTTCACATTGTTTTTAGATTATTAATGAGTATTATTAACATTTTTTTTTGCATATCATATAACCTTGACTTAGATATTATTTTTAAAAAACTAATAAAAATGTGCTAACGCTATATTCATCTCTATTATATAAAATAAGAAAATATTTTCTTAATTATTTCATGTAATCGAGAATATAATATGAAATTATACTTGTGAAAAATTAATAATTGAAATCATTAGGGAGAATATGCGGAGGTTTTCTGTTAATTTTACTCAACATTAAACAGCAAACATTAATGTAATAGGACGCTAAAGAAATAGTTTTATTGTCATACTTAGTAATACTATTCATGTATAAAGAATATGTCAATTTTTAACATAACAGAAGTTTGTGTGGTAAAAAGACAGAAGAAAATTGTTGATAATAAGAAGAAGAAGAACAACAACACTATTAACGCCATCGTTAATATAGACAAAACTAATCAAATAGATATTCAAGACAAACAATCATAACATGAAGAATGTTTCCCATGAAAATCATTTGTTTTTTTCAAATCAAAATAATAATATATACGCTTCGGATTACAGTCTAGGTCAATTTATACTAAGCTAAATCAAAGAATTCATCGTGACATAGTCATAAGAAGATTAATAATTGATAACGAAGAGATCATGAGTTGTTATACTATATATTATCGAATAAAATATGGATTTGTTTAAAATTTATCATGCATAATGTTATGTCGTAAGATTATTTTATAAATATGTATGTCAAAATCATGAATGTAATGTAAGATTTAATAGTTTCATTTTCCTATCGGAAGGAAAAGTCAATGTTAGAAAATTTTTTTGTATAAAAAGAAAGGAAGGAATTAATTTACTAGATCAGGCGAGTCATCTATTTTAGTAGTTCTAGGGATGCAAAAGTAATGAAACCGAGTTTATTAGTGACCGTAGCTAATCGATTAGTCGTTTGAACCGAATAAAAAAAACGGTACTTATCGTTAATATAAATTGAAGTCATCATTAGTATCCCTGAATAGGTTTTGTCCACAAATTATACCTATTCACCCGATATAGTTCGGAAAATGAGTAATTTAATATCCTTATTAGAATATTCCAGACAATTAAATTTAATAGCATGATGTGATAAATAATTCAGTAGAATAAAGCTGAATCGTATAATGTCGTAATTTGGTATTGATTATAATTAAGACTACGATGGGCGGAGAAGAAACAGTCGCATTTTCATCTTTTCTTTTCAAAAACACGTAAATAATTTTCTCTATATCTAATCAATAGAGTGGATAAATACCACTGTGAGATATATTTATTCGAAAGAATATGTACTTTAATTCTATAAAACCATGCTTGTTGGTTTTTACGTAAGTCATGCATTTCTTTTAATACTGATTATATCTTATTTCTATCAGGAAGCTTAGAATTTATGTCGGATTTTTTTAATTCTTCTCATACGATAGATGTCGTTTTATTAAAATAAAAATTCAATAAAATTTTATAATTATTTTTTTATTATACAAAATGAATTATTTGAAATTTTTTCTTCGTTTAAAATAATATTTTATAACAATAAACCAATCAATGGAATGTGCGGGTAGTATAATCCATGGATAAGTAAAATCTAGATTAATCTCATTAAAATTAACTATGAATTGGACGCATCGTCGTCCGTTTCGACAACAATTTACTAATGGTGGAGTAAGTTAATTTATTTTAAATATTTCTATTTTTAAATAATATTTTCATTTTTTAGAATATGAATAAAATTCCAATTAATCGACCACTGACAACATTTAATCATCTATCAAAATCGATATCAAATCAACCTATTGATGCAATTCGTCTTCAATTAGCTGATTATGATAATCCATGTCCAGTTCATCATCAACAATCTCATCGTAATCATCCATATATAACAACATTTTCTGATCAACAATCATCTGTACGACGAACACATTCATCTATTCATTCAATTTCAACAGTTGAAACAGATTTTGTTCATCAGTAAAATTCTTTACTTTCGCTTTTTTTGTCTTTTCTAAATAAAATTCTTAGACGAGTATCAACTATTCATACATATCCATCATCATCTTCAATTATTGGACAACAAGAAATTATTCATGAACCAATAATGCCTGCTATTGAACAAATATCCAATGAATCTATTCATGAACAATCAAATCAAGTAATAGAAACAAAATTTAATTGAAAAGAAAAAATATTTTATATTTATTTTTAAAGTGTCGAACATGTTTAATGTTAATCGAAATTGTTGATCAACAAGCTCAACAAATTCGACAACATACAGAACAAATTTCTCAACAAACTGATTTATTAGCAAAATTAGCTCGACGTTTTGCTGAATTTGAAGAAAGTATCGATGAACAAAAATCAGATATGACTACAGAACAACAAGTTACAAATATACCAATTAATACTTAGAATATAATTGTATAATAGATTTTAATTTTATTAGAAATTCATAGAAAATGAAAATATAATATAAAATTATTGAAATACATTCATGTTTTAGAATACTTCCATGATCAAAAATGGAGTCGATCTACTAGGACAGATTTTGTCTAATTTGTTTCATGCATATTCTACCAGATGTTATTATCGCGTAGTAGTAGTAGACTTGAATATGTAAAAATTATTTATAAGCGGCCTATTGAAGATACAATCTGAAGCGAGAAGTATGATACTTTAAAGTATATATTAGCACTGGTTATTGTTTATTTGGAGAAAAAATGACGTTGATGACAGGAGAGGAAGACATACATATTATATATTCATGAGAGATAATAACGATGATGTTATCGAGAGTGGTCTCGTTAAAGTACATGGAATGCGGTTTTATTGTAAGTAAATTTTGTAGATATTTCTATGTCAGATAATTAGTAATAGTAGTCTGTTAGATAAAGAATTCAAAATGAAGCAACTTACTTTGCGATAGAAACTTTAAGACAAAATAAATTCGAAATTCCTATAGAATTTCAGTCAAAGAAATTGGCTCATAGATATTCGATTCTCGCAATAAGTCTTAATTCTCTCTTTTATGTATCACGGTTACATTGAGAAAGAAAAATATAAATATCGTTTCTTTGTAATGGGTACTATTTAAATCTTGAGGGTGGGTGTGAGTGTCCATCTCTTATCCACCCACACCCAGTTTGAAGTTTTTACTGATAATTCATAATAAATTACTGATCGCTTTTACTGATCATTTTGAATAAAAAATTGGCCATTTAATTTGTATCCTTTGTAATTACTCAAACAATGCAACAATTTTGTTTTTTTGATAAACGCTTTATTTATTTCTTATGACGAATTCGTCATTAGGCGCTGACCGTCTTATCACAAACTGAGCTTTAAGAAAAACATCGGCAACAGGAGAAGGAAAACGTATAGAAGAAAATTTTCAACTCTAGAAATACTAATCTGTTGTATACTAAAATAATAAAAAAAAAGAAAGAAGGAACCTCTTCATCGAGGCATGTGATGACTTAACTAAAGACAAAACCGCATAGGCGATCAAAGTAAGATTGTCCCTCATGATCAAACAATGCAACAATTTCAAACAGCTGCTGCATTATAAATATGGAGTATCTATTGATAAGCGCGATAGTGTAAGGCGCATTTTTCTTGTACTACTTATTCTAAATAAATAATAACCAGCAGTTTAACATTTTCAAAAAAAAATTATATTTGAAAAAATAAGAATGTATACGGTTTGCGTGGTTAGTACTACATTTATACAATTATCAATCGTTTAATTCTAGTACTATTATTTTGATGCTTATATAGTTAATTCTTCATTATTATTAGCTGATGGAAAGTCAGTATATTCTTTGTTTTCTGTACTTGAATTTGTATTATTTGTTGATGTTCTACAATAATAAAAAAGTTCTTATTATATATTGTAAAAAGTTTTGCTTATTTACTTTTCAGTATTTGATTCAATAGGATCAATTTTATTGGGGACTAGCAATGAAACTGATTTTATTGATGATGGTTCTGATTTCGAAGTATCCTGTTGACGTAATATACGATTAACAATTGATAAAAAAGATTCATGGTCATTATTTGATTGTGGGGTTGGAACAAGAGAATTCTAAAATTAGAATAGAAAAAAAAGCTTCATAAAATTCTTTCTAATATATCTTACCCATGAATTTCGTTTCATATTTGCTGATGAAGGTTTTGTTAACATACCAGTATTTGGTGCCGAATGATGTTGTCTTACTTGACTATTGGAAAATGTTTCTTTAATTTTCGGTATTATATTCTTATAACGATGTGAATTCGAAGTTTTTGATTTATGTTCATCATCAGATTCTTGTATATCAATTTGTTGAATATTATTATTTTGTTGAAATGAGTATGAAGAAAAAAATTGCGAAAGTCTTGCAATAAATTCATTTTTTGAACGTTCTCTTTGATTAACAATACGTAATTGAAAAACATCTTTTTTTAAAATAATATTCATTGTATTTAATATTAATGTAAGAAAATAAGTTCGAAATGTTTCATCATGTTTATAAATACCACCAGATGGTTTATCAATAGATTCAATATCACAACGACGCCAAATTTCTATCTAAAAAAACCAACAAATAACGAAAGAAAACTTATTTATTTTGATTATTAATCTAACTTTATAATGAAGTTGAGAATTAATTTCTATTGGTTGAACTGTAATATAAACTTGTATCATTTTTCCAAGAATAAAATCGGGTTGAAATCTACTGCCAACTTCTTGAAAAACTATACATAATAATGCATTACCAATTAAACCTTTTCGATGAATAAATTCTTTATCATTGATTTCCGATGGAATTATTGGTGCAATATTAAACATTATTTGATGATTTTCATAGAATGTAAAATAAGAATAAAGTCCATGTTCATTTGTTTTTATATCAAGATCACCACGATATTTATTAAAATCTTTTAATTCAATACGTTCACTTATTAAAGTTAGAAAATTCTTCATTTCGATGGACATATCATTATTACTTAAAATTTCATTTTCATTTGTTTGATTTAAACGTTGAAAAATAAAACCAATCTTATTTGAATATTGATCATCAATATATTTATCAAATTCAAGAAGTTTTTCATTGGCCTTTAATATAAATAAATTAAAATTAGTAGTACACATTCAATAGAAATGTAATCGTTTCAAAGGAGTATTCATAAATATAGGTCTAGAGTGAAAATTAGAAGGAGGGATTTCTAATGGCTATGATTTAAGTGGTCATTGGATGAAAAATTCGAAAAATCCGTCATTCACTTCTGTTCTACTATATCAACGGTTGATAGATGGTATTTACTTTTCTCTTGAAGATGTACGACTTCATCCTACTCATATTCTCGAAATGTAACTATTCAGCTTTTCTGTTGGTATGCCTATACGGTTGAAATATTGCAAACCACCAGCAATGGCAGTTTCAATTGAAGAAAAGATAAAGCAAGTCTATTGATGGAATAATATAATGCTCGTTCTCTTTATTAGTACTAATTCATAAATTACTTACTTAATATTACAGTAGGTTTCCATGGTTCTTTCTTTCACTAAAGTATACTTTACACTGACTGAAGATGCTTTCTACAAATCAATAAAAAACTCAATCTTAATGAATACGAATTATCGTCGATAATTATCTCAAATATCGCTGTGTTTAGTTATCTCATATTGAACATCTTGATCCTTAATTCTTTGTGTAAACAACTTTTAAAAACTAACATCAGATTCGAGCTCAACGAAATCGATTATCCTTCAGTCAACCCGTATAAAAAAACTCCTTTTATATCATTACCTAATTTTTGGCCTAATCAGCGAAGTGCGGATACACAAACAATTTATTCTAGGCCATAAATAGAAAATCTAATTGTAATTCGAAAAAAAAAATCAAATAACCAGATATTTCAATGATTTTTATCTACGCTATTGATCTATCTAATCGTTATAAGTATAAATATAAGAAACTATTCGAAAGCAATAATTTTATCTGTTCATTTCAAAAAGTTAATAACAATTTTCATACTTTGATATGATGAATAATTTCATAATGTTGAATAGATGATAATTGAGCTTTTTGAAATAAACTATGTAAAATATTTTTTTCATTTTTGATATTTATTTTATCTGATACGTCATAATTGTTATTCATTGTACTTGAACGAAATGATATGAATATATATGTCATAGTAAAAATAAAATTTTTCTTACCGAATAAGAGCTCGAACTAGTTGATGTTCTTCTTCATCATTATTTATTTTTAAATAATCAGATGTTGATTTATTATCTATATCATTTATTTCTATTGGAATTGATCGAATAGAAGCTATAAATAAACCTTCATGTTCAAGTTTACCACAATAATTTATATGATACTATAAATAAAAGAAAATAATTTACAAAAACTCAATGAATAAATTAAACGTACATTATCAAAAAAATCTTTTTCATATGTTTGTGAAATACGCAAAGGTGCTTTTAATTTATATTGATAATTTTCATTATGTTGACTATCATTTAAATTTGATTGAAGAATAAATGAAGATTCTTCCGAATTTGTTACTGTTGTTTTATCATTTCGATTAGAATTTAATTCATCCATTGAGAATATTTTTCTACTGATAGGTTACCGAGTATGAGACACAATAAATAACTCAATATAAAAATTATTGCTTTTTTCTTATTCTTAATAGACAACAAGGTATTTTATCTTGATATACATGTGTATAATAATAAGCATAAAATAGATATGTGAGTCATTAATAATATTCATCCAATCGTAACTAACAATTTTTTATTTTGTGATATAATTTGTTCCTATTGATGGGTGGGGCACAAGTACTATACAAATTACGTTGTAGAGAAAGCCTTTTTTCAAATGAATTTTTTTTCGAGTTTTATATTGTATGCATTAGAATATTATTGAAGTATGTAAGAAAAAAAACTTTTTTTTAATTGTGCAAATTGATTTTAATACCTTCGAAATTTTATGAAAACGGAATTTACTATATATATATCATTCGAAAGGCTCTAGAATATTAGTATATTTAATATCCTGTTTCTAAATAAATCAACTCATCGAAAAAAAATTCTTTAAACACCTCAGTCAATAGGCATTTCGCAGAATTTTTTTCGGGGGGGGGGGGGGGTTGACGAATTTGGAGAAAAGTTTATTAATGAAAAAGGTTTTTTAATTTTTTTTATACTTTCCTCTTTTTCGCTCCCTTTGGTTTTTGTTTTTGTTTTGGGGGGGGGGGGGGGGGGGGGGGAGGAAATCGATCCCCCTCTGAGGACGTCCCTGGTAGTGAGAACTTTTAGTATACTTGAATAGATACTTCTTGATAAAGTCAGACGTTCTTATCAATAGATTGAAATAATAGGACTTTTTCTATTTTTTCAACTTTACAAAACCAGTACAAATATATATATAGTTTCACATTGACATTTTTGACGATAACTGTTTTTGGTAATATCATTTTTGAATATGTATGGAGGGCATGATATAATCCAAACTCGTATAATATCTTATCATCAAGAATTGTACAAAAAAATCAAATAGACAGTTTGATACAATCACGTGAAATTGAAATAGAAAATGACGTATTTTATAATTCGATAATCATCAATGAATATTTAAAATAATTAATTATGTGTATGTTTGAGTACTACAAATACTAACATTGTGTGAAGTTTGTACAAATAGTTTTATTTATTTTGAAATATACAACTGAAGCTGTTTATACAATCAAAGAAAAAGAAAAAGAAAAACTTAATTTTGTTTATTTGAAACACGTTGAATGTCATTTGTAATCTCTGTAACATATGGATGAGTTGAAATAAATGAATAACGAAGAACTGCTGCTGCTTTTTTATAGTAAGCTAATGCTCGATCAATATCACCTTTATCTTCATACGCAAGTCCAATATTTCTCAATGTAAATGCAATATCAGGATGTTGTGCAGGAAGAGATTTCGTACGAATTTGAAGTGATTTTTGAAAATATTCTAATGATAGATCTTTGTTACCTAGAAATCGTTGTAGTACACCGATATTCCCATATGAATCACCAAGATGTGGATGATTATCCGGAAGACATTTTTCCCAAATAGCAAGTGATTTTTGATAAAAATCTAATGCATCATAATATCTTTTTTCTTTCTGATACACATTACCCATATTATTTAAACATGAAGCAACATCATAATGATTTTCTCCATAGATTCGTTTACAAATTGTTAATGCTTTATTGAATGCATCTAATGCAGCTTCATAATCACCTTTTTGAGCATAAACAGTAGCTATACTATTATAATTTGATGCCATACGTGGATGATCAACATCTAATGTTTGCATATCAAATTCAAGTAATTTTCTATGCCATTTTAAACTTGCTTCATAATCACCTTTATGATATGCGACACTACCCAATTGAAAATAACAATCAACAATATCTGGATGATCACGTGTAAGTTGATTAACTAAACGAAGAAGATATTTTTCAGCATATTCAAATTTGCCCATTTTTCTTAGTATTCGACTAAATTTTAAAAGATTTGTTTCTTTTTCTCCCGGTTCATTTTTCATATGTTGAAAAAGTGATTGTAATTGATGATCATCAAATGAACATAAACTCATTTGTATAATCCATATTCCATGACTATCTTTACGTATTTTATTTATTTTAAATATTGATCCAACCATAAAAAGAATTTCTTCTTCATCAGGATAATAACTTAGTGCTGTTATATTACTAAATGGTTTGATATTTTCAATCCGTGGATCAGCATCAATTTCAAAAAATACTTGTTCAACATCAAGTGTAACATCAACTAATGAGAGAAATGAACGAGCACGATGACGACTTAAACTTGTTGAAAGAAATGAATTCATTGAAATAATTTTTCCAACAGATTTTCGAAGTAATTGTATTTCACCTTTGGACATAACTTGGGCACGATAAACACGTATAGGTACTTGACATTTATTTTTTTCTAATTGTTGTTCAATATCACGAATAAAAAAACGAAATAAATAAAGTAAATCAATATTTTGAACTCGAAGTGCTTTATTTAATAGACGATGAAGAAATGAATGACGTGTATACCACCATAATGATTGATCAGGTGAATATTGTCGTTGAAATTCTTTTAAAATTTTTAATTCAAAACGATTATCTTTATATAATTGTTTACATAAATGTACAAGTTCATCTTCATCTCTTGCCGATGATTTCATTCGAATAAGACAATCAATTAATAATTGTGAATGAAGAAATTCACCATTTAAATCACTTGTTGATTGTTCTTCAGTACTATTACCAGAATTAAATATATTTATTAATAAAGAATCATCAATTTTTGAATGATGTCGTTGAACTTGCTCGGATTTAATTTTTGTCATTAATTCACTGAATTTAGTAAAAACACCTTTGATCTAAATAAAAACAAAATTCTTGAATAGATATTGAAAGAAAGAAAAAAATAACAATAATTTATTGATATGAAATTACTTTTGGATAATATTGAGCCCATTGTTGATGAGTTTGTTGATTAAAACAATAAATATAAATGGAAATAATTTGTGTAAATCGAGCAAGTTTAGGAACAATAAGTTGTCCTAATTTTCCATTAACAATAAAAAAAACTCGATCATGTTTATTCAATGATTGAATATAACGTAGACATTGTTGATCATCTTCAAATACTTTTAAATGATTTATTATCTGTCGAAGTTTGTTTTGTGCTTGAATATTTTGTGACGAATCATTGACTGATGAATCAAGCCAAATTAAAGAATAGATTTCGAAACTTGGATCAGCTTCAGTTGTATTGGGTAAAGTTGTTTCCATTAGATTGATTTTAATAATAATGAAAACGATGAAAATATTTATAAAATAATATATTTTTTTCACTAGTACTTTTTAATTTCTTGCTTAATATTGTCGAAATAATTATGTTGAAAAGCACGTAAAAAAAAGTACATTTTGTTTTTAATTATAATTAAAAATGTGTGATTTGACAATATATTATCTTTACAGGTAATCAATAAGGTAAACAAACGAACGAACGATTTAATTTGTGTTTTTTATAGTGAAATCAATTTTCTTTTCTTTCCATATAGTTTTCGTTTTTCTTTTTATATCGATATGTTTTTGTTTGATTTTATTGAATTGATATTTCGTCGAAGTTCTTTAGTTTATTTTTTTAATAATATTAATAATAAACAAATCATAGTTATTTAAACAGAATGACTGAATAATTTAGAAAGAATTTTTACAATATATTTTTTCGTATATTCAACAAAACTAAACTCACAGGTTAAAATGTCTAGCGAGTACTACCTCGTAGATTGACCGATAAGATATACAAATGATGCGTACTCAGTTATGGTTTACACGCTGTATTTGTACCTTGTTATGATAGGAATGTATGCGGTAAAAACGTTTACATGCCGTAACTGTACCGTAATGGCGTCATTTAACTAAAAATCTAAAAAATAGAATATTACCCAATTGCTTAATATACAAATCAATAGTAATATTCTTTCATGTTCGATGTAATTCAAGTATCAAATCAAAAGGTAAATTTTTTATTGCAAAAATACAGAAAAATTTGTAGAGAAAAAAAAATACATTGGAAAAATTCTTCGAATGAACTTTTTCTATCGAAAAGGTTCACTAAAAGTTGAGTATCGGTATGCATACATATTTTACTCATCTGTTGCTCATATCCTCAAAAATGTGTTTATGATATGAAAGGGTCATCAAGTGTGTTTTTAGAGGTTTTGATGAAAACAACATGTGTTTATCAAGTCAAGAGCGAAACAGTTAAAGGTAAAGTTACAGTCAATATAGTTCTTTGGTTATTACTACCTAAACATACATACATCACGTTTTTAAAGCATTCTATTTGCTTTCGAAAATATTAGAGATAATTCAATGAATTGCAACTATATTTGATGTCTTATAGTATATTTTCATGTATTGTGTTTAGTTCATTGAATAAAGTAAATTATGAACTGTAAAATAATGTTTTGTTACTGTTGATGAGCATAACTCATGAAGGACTTATTACAAAGCTACTTAATTACTACAAATATAAATAACAAGAATGACAACTAATATGGAAGATAGATTCATATACGTCACATGTAATATATTCGATTTCTGTAAATAGAAAAGTAAATAAACATGTACATTTTGCTATACAATTCATGAGAATAGTAGTAAATATATTTAGATACGAATTTGCTCTTCTCAATATACTAATTGATCAATACATTGTATTCAATCAAATAAGATGATATTCTTAAATAACAGGGGACGTACAGTAAATGATAAAACAGATCTTTCTTTTATATTATTGATTTAAATATGAAATTTAAAGTTTATAATGGATCATGATATATTTAGTTTTTAAGAATAGAATTTAGTCGGAATAATTCTTTGATTTAGCAAAAAATTCTTGAGCTTTTTACTTTTTTCGTATAGTTTGTTTCGATTCTGTTTTATCTTTGAAATATATTTTAAGTATATCAAAATTAGTTTATTCAACTAGAGTGTAGGTGTATCATATTTAGCAGACACACATCCACCCTCATAAAAATCCTTTTTTTTTGGTAAAAGACTGAATCTAAAAAAAATTGCAAAAAGTGCCCTGAGATTAGAATACTTCATCTCTACTTACCTCTGATCAAACTTTTAAAAAACTCAGAAAACTTACACCAGCTTCGGATTCCTCGAACCCAAAAGCCTTGGAGTGAGTTTCACGTCAGCTAAAATAAACTAAATCTTACACGATACACCTTCTTGCAATCTGATTGTCTTACACAGACAGAGAGACAAATTTTATGCATTTCTAAGCACCATTTAACCTCCATATAACCCTTTCTTTTAAAAAAGGGAATAATACTTAGATTTAAGAATTTGATTTTGATTCATATGAATGAAGATTCTTTCTTAACAAGCCAACTGGTGAAATCTGTAGTTGAATCGAGAATGTTTATGGTAGCTGTTCTCACCCTATAAGAAATAGATTATCTATTATTTATTCAAAAAATTCTATTGTAATATTGGAAAATTGTTTTTTTTTATATTTTCAGTATAGATTTTGAGTTTTTTGGATTTTTGTAGATCTTTTTTGCCACCGAATGATTCTTTTAATTAAGAGGAAACGAGTTGTGTTAGTTACTATCGATGATGTATTAATCGAGGTGAGAGAAAAGAATTAATCAATAGTAATTTATTATATTGAAGATATCGGAAGAATAAAGAAAAGGAAAGAAGAGTCGAGGCATATATTGTAATACTTTATTATAATACAAGTCAACAATAAAACTACTATCTGATTAGATCAAAGTTACTAGACAATGAAATTCTTTAGATAAAAACAGTCACAAATATCCTGTGAATAAAGTTCACAAGATAAAAACATACAATATCTCCTTACATACCCATTATATATCTGAGAAAAATTATTAAATAATTTATATAAATGATCAAAATTGTTAATCTATAAATTAACGTTTTGTTTTTGTTTATCTTTATTTCACTTTTAAAACGATCAAAGTTAACATCTAATTTATATAAATAATTAATCAAGAGATATGCAGAAGAAAGATACCAATATTATCTAATATCTCCGTCATTTATCAATAAATAGTTTCATTTATTCTAAATATTAAGAGAAAATGAATCTTCACGCGCGTTTATTCGTATATTCTTCTCTCCTTACAACAATGTAATGATTATATATAGTGTGACAACAATCAGAATTAAAATCCATATGTTGGATAATCTTATATAGGTAATCGAAGGAAAAAACCATAGAACAAGATGTCAGCGAAAATAAATGAAAACAAAAAATATTCTTTTTACACACACACGTATATATACAGGACAGGAAAAAGAAAAGAGAACAAGTATATCGATAGTAGAGAAAATCGTTTTAATTACATGTGAATAAGATATGTGAATCATAACATAATAAGCAGTATTTTCATTTTAAATTTGATATCGAAATTCATGATAATTTAAATATAATACCTGTTTTTACATATCGTAAGATTGAATGATAATAATACATAATTTTTATCAAATAAAATAGACGAGAAAATATTTCATTTATTATAAATCTTTGAAAGATTTTAAATATTAAATCATTATCATTATTACAATGTTTTTTATTCGATTGAATTCTTATTTTATCAAAATTATTTTTTCTATTTCTATTTTGTTGTTGAATTTCTAAACAAAATATTTTAATTATAAAATATTGGTTTGATTATATAAATAATATTATTATGAATTAAAACATATATAGAAACATTGATTTTTTTAAATTGTATAAAGTATTACATAAAACAAAAATCATGCTTATTTTTATTCTAACTATACGAACAACAATTATTTTAACACGTTCCTATTCATCCGAAACGGTCTTTTTAGACACAACTGAGATATCTGTAACGACAAGCCACTAATACAAAACAAGAATAGCGATTATACAAATGTACTAATCATTGAAGGACGACATATACATCGATTATAGAGAAAGGTATGAAGTAATCAACTAATTTTTTTTCGAGTTTTTTTCAACGAAACTAAAGACAGAATAACATAAACACAATGATATTCATTGTAGATCTATTCTAATTCTCATACTCACATATTCAACAATATATTTTTTTGAACGATTTCTATAAAAGTAATCATTTTACATAATATGAACTCGATTTATCTTCTTTAAAGATAGGTATTCTATTGAAGAAAAAAAGATTTTTTATAAGAGAAAAATAAATTAAATATTTTAAACCGCATAGAATACATTATAATAATAATAAAAACAACTATAGATTTAAGTAAGACTCTCAAGATACAGATTATATTGGATGTTTGTCATGTTTTAAGTGAGTAGTTTATTTAAGTCTATAATCTAACGATATAGATATGATAAAACAGGTTAGAAACAAAATATATAAATAATGTTAGAAAAATACAAATGATCTTTTTATTTCCTTTTGTATCGTTTTAGAAATGATAGACATAGAAAGAAAATAATGTGCTAAGGAATCATACATTTTTTGAGAATTGTCTTAAGTTCATGCGTGTTATTTTTTTTAATATCGATATAAAGATTATTTCGGAGATGGAGGATAATATGCGTCATATTCTAAGAATTATTCAGATAGAGTGTGGATAAGATAGATATGATATACTCGCATCCAAATTATTATTATTCATTCTTTTAGAAGACTTGAATAATACTTTGTTTTTTGTTTTGTTGTCTTTTTAATCGTTCGATATAGTGATGCGAGAAAAACGTTACCTTTTGATTTGTTCTCTCTTTCTTTTCCAGTCATCATAAGTGTCAATGTATGAGTCATTATACAATGAATATTCTTTCTCTATCGACTTCCTTACATTTTATTTCGACTTTCGAAATTAACAACATTAAGTATGTAGAAACATTTCTTCTTGCTACCATATATTTCACGACTCTGCTATCTCTCATTTTACTCTGTTGTATCAGAAAGCTTCAACGAAAAGTAAAACAATCAAGAGAACAGACTGTATTTAATAGAAAGTAGATTAGGTTGTCAACAAATATAGTTTATTTTATGCTCTAGGATATAATTATTTGAAATATTCGATGTATCTTTGATTTAAACAGAATTGTTTTGTCTATTTAGAACAAATAGACAAACAAGAAGGATTGCCATAGCACACACTTGGTTTTTATTATTAAGATCATCTATTTTATGACTTCTTGATCAAGTATACAGTATGATACCTATAGTTTCCGATCAAAAACAAATACAAGTTAACAGCAGTGATATTTTTAATGATGAAGAAAGACTGCAATATAAAGATCCAAAACAAGATTTACCAACTGTATACGATATACATACTAAATTCAAAAAGAATATAATACTGCTTATTGTTACTGGTTTAGGATTTTTGGCTAATTTCGATGATCTAATTTATGTTCCTACATTACCTGCAGTAGCTAAAGATCTACATACAACAGAAACATTAGGTTTATTAACAACCAGTGTATATGTGCTTGGAAATTCTTTTGGTGGACTCATTTGGGGAGTGTTAAGTGATTGTTATGGACGTAAATCAATCATGCTACTTGGACTCTGTGGATTTGCACTATCTGTGGCTAGTTCCTACTTCTCACCAAATATAAGTATATTTTTAGTATCTCGTATATTGCAAGGAGCTTTCATTAGCGTGACATTAATTATTGGTCAAGCAACAATTGCTGATATATATCCACCAAATGAGCGTGGAAGAGCTATCGCTTTCTTCTATGCATTTTATTTCGCGGCGATATTAGTTGGTCCAATCATTGGTGGACCATTGTCTTATCATTTTGGTTGGAGATCTACATTTGTTGTAGTGGAAATTCTTACAATTGTTTTATTTATTCTTTATGTCTTATTTGTACCTGAAACACATCAGTATATAATTGTAAGGAAATACCACGATACGGGAACAAAGCTACTTGAATACGACTTACTTGTAAAGCCAAAACTACAAAATCCATGTTCAGCATTAGCATATTTAAAGGAGACAACAATTCTACCATATGTCTTTCTTTTAGCGATAGGATATATGTCAATGAATGTTGCACATATTTTTTTTCCTATTCAATTATCTAAAGTACCTTATGACTACAAACCAGACTTAATTGGTATGTTATATGTTCCAGTATCGATTGCAGCGTTTTCAGGAAGTATTGTCGGTGGTATATTATCTGATTATGCAGCAGTTAGGTATACAACAACATTAAGAATTGATGAAGGACATGTTGTGCCAGCATTATTATTTTCTATTCTAACACCTGTTGGTCTAGTCATATATGGATGGTCATGTCAGTATGGTATGAATATATCATTACCAGTCATCGGAATAGTTATTTTTACTTTTGGTCAAACAGCTACTCGACCTGGTATCTATTCGTTCTATACAATTAAATATCAACAACATTCAGCTAATATTGTAGCAGCAAATAACTTTGTACAATTGTTATTAACATCGATTATGCTAACATCTACAGCGATCATTGTCGAATCGATTGGTAATGGACTTTATTTTACAACTATGGCTGTGGGTAATATATTGGCAACAATTGTACCAGCGATGATTATTTCAAGAAAAATTAGATTATCATCTGATATTTGTGAAAAAATGCCTAGTCAAAGTACTCCTTTAATAAGTACTGATGCTAGACAATATGACGAATAATTATAAGTTTTTTGTATCCATAATGGTGTTCGTACTCATTCTGTAATACTGACTTTTTTTTGAGTGTCTAGGTGAAATGCATAGACATCTATATTTTATTCACTATTGTTGTATAACATCAATTTTATTTGAATAAACAATTCACTATTGTTACAACACATAAAGACTTTTTATATAAGTGATTATTTGATTAGAAGAGTGAATGTATGCGTAGATATGATTAAAGATGAGATAAAATTAACGGTTTATTCATACGAAAACAAGATAACTACGGCTTCGATTATAGGTAGTATTTCAAAAACAAATAATGGCTTAGTTCAATACTAACAAGGGAAGGTCTACAAGTAATGACCCGAGTTAAAGGTTGATATTATGTGGATTTGCTACACTAAGTGTACTGATGTCAAGTATGAAACAATTATCGGCTAAGACTGATTCACTGAGAAATTATAGTGACTACATTTTTTCACTATAATTTTTCAAAGAATCGGCCTTAGCTGATAACATATATATTTTACTGCAAGATAAAATGCTTTTGAAAATTAATAATATTGGATCTCTGAAAGTTTAGGCATTAATTGTTTTTTCGAGATTAACAAAATTTTAAAATGTTTAAAAAAACACAAGAAACACGATTATTTGTTTGATAGTAGCGTATTCAATTTCTTAATCATAAATATATCGTCTAGGATTGAAGAGAAAAGTTATTTATTACTTTTATAACATGAAGAATCAATATCGCAAAAATAAAATTATATTCTGGCAAAGAAACTATAATAAATACTTGTATTATCATTTTCTTTATATTTAGACACATCTAACTAAATAATAAATCAATTTCATATTTGTCATATATATCATTGAATATATAAGTTGATATGAGATGGATGGTTTGATGCATCCAATCTCCTAGTTCTTTCAATCAAGAGAAGAACTGTGAATACGAAATACATCATAAACTGAACTATATTTGATGATCTATAACCGATAATAATGATACATTCGAAATCAAATGCGAAATGCAAAAGTAGACCTAGTATTGTATCAACCATGTGCTACATGCAACATATGTAATAGTGTGAGAAGAAAAAAAAACATATTGCCACGTGATAAATAAATGCATATTTGTTTTTCTTTATTGTATAATCAGACAGAAAAAGTAATAGATGCATTCAAAGACTATGACGGCCACCAACTTTCCCATTTCTGACGATGATTAATAATATTTTCAAAATTTTTGATGAGCATATGTACTACTCTGGTAACAAGAAGAACCCACCGACTGTTACCTGGAAACATATGAAGCACTTTGTAATTCAACATCTTATGCCCTTCCTTATGAAGTTATGCTACGAATATTTCAATTACTATCCATAACAGATTTAAAAAAGAAACATATTTACGAAATGAAGAAATAATTCAGTAAACAAGACTAAAATTACGAAAATGTATTCTAAATGTTTCTGTCATACATGTACATCTCCAATTGCGAGAAAAATTCGAACATTCCAACATTTTATAGATAATATTAATGATCATGATATATATAATGTTCAATCGAAAGTTGATGGTAGAAAAAATTATAATCAAACAAAACTGTTCAATAGAACAAAGAAAATGAATTCTATCAATATTCATTTATATAACGTATATTTTATGAATGTACTTTTATTTTAAATTAAATATTTATTTAATATCAATCATATAAATAATTATATTTGTCGATAATAGAAATGGTATGATATAATTAGTAAGATGTAAATATGAGTTTAAAAAAAAAAGTGATTCAACTAAGTTAAGATAGGAGTTGGTGTAAAATCGTGTCCTAATCTCTTCTTCAAATGTTCTACTTCGCCACCATACTTGCAAATGGCGACTCGCATCATAGCAAGTGTATTGTGTGCTGCAGTACTATGATTTTGTACACCACCATGAAATGCTACTGTAGCATCCTTACCTATTCTACTTTTAAGTAGTGCTCTACCACCTGGATGTGTATCAATAAAATTGCTAACATCATGAACAAAACCACTAATTAGAATAAGCTGACGACCATCATCTTTACTTGCTAACTCTTGGTATTCTTCAAATGAAATTATAGGCAACATTGCGTTATCTTTAGGCCATACAATTGTTTTTCCAAATCTATTCAATGCTTTTTGCATCATACCATAACGTCCTTTTTGAATTTCGTTCTTAGAAAATCTCTTAAGATTAGTAGCGAGACCAAGTTTTTCGAAAAGCCATATTGCCCACTTGGTAGGATCATATTGATACCATTCAAGTGCATTACGATAATCGGACGGAAATTCATGATGAAAATTATGATAACCTTCTCCTAATGTGACAAGAGCTGTAATAAAATGATCTCGAGGTGTATGTCGATCATCGAAAGGTGCATCACCTAAATAATGAGCTAATGAATTGACACAGAATGTTGCATGATGAATCAAAAAAAGGCGAAGTGCACCGGCAAAAAAATAGCCACCTCGATAATCGTTCCATCCGAGTCCACAGATAAAAACAGGGACAATATAACCCATGAAAATATTTAAGACAGTAAGATATTTGAATTGCCATTGAACAGTTTTATCATTATCTAGATCAGCCGTATCAGTGTCGGCGCAATTTCGATTTGAGATAAACATCAACCATCCAATATGAGAATGAAAAAGACCTCGATGTGCGCTATATGGATCAAGATCAGTATCCGTGTAACGGTGATGAGCTCGGTGACCACGTGCCCACCATTTAACAGATCCTTGCATAGCACCAGCACCTAACGTTACTAATATATATCGTAATAGTAAAGATGCTTGATATGCACGATGAGCGAAGAGACGATGATAACCAGCAGTAATGGCGAGTCCAGTGAGTAAACCATATACAATAGCAAAAACAGTTGTCTGCCATACAAAACGCGTAGTAAAGACACCATAGATGCCGATAAATGGTTCACTATAAAGTACTATTACTTTAACCCAATCGATTTGTGTGTACCAGTTCGACCAAGTTATGGCAGGTAGTTCTGGTATAGCCAGTAAAGTTTTTGCTACATAATTATTCTTAATAAAATCTTCCTCCTCTTCGGCAGCAGTCATTTTTGGTTGAGGCGACGATAATGATTGTTTTTCAGTCGATATCGGTAAGTCTAATGGTTTTGGTATGTAATACATAGAAGTATCAAAATCGCTGGTTTCTTCAGTTGTAAAAGTCATGTTCGGAAAGAAAGTGTCTGTATTACAATCGTGTTTTACTATCTAAAATAACTAATTAATAGACAAATATGTTTACAAAAATTGTGTGCGAAGAACATTTATAAAAGATGTTAATCGAATTAGTGCAAGTATAATAAGTAGAAATATAAATGCACTTATTTTTTTAACAACTGACTATATTTTAAAAATTCAATATTATGACTAAAGTTCAAATTCTAGTATATGGTTTTCTACCTAATGCATGACAATAAATAAATTTTATATATTCATAGAAACGAACTCCTTCCAATCTTTTGCTAGTTCTGTTCAGACGTTCTTGTTAAATAAATACTTGATTTATATTTCTAATAAGTCCATAGAATTTGTAATATGACTTCTGGTATTGTCATTTCTAATAAAAATATTTTAAATAATCAAATTTTCTCAATATCATAAAGAAAAAACTTACTAGTTAAGCCAAAACCAAGATATTGAATTATAAAAGTAATTCATATAGTATATAAATAAGTAAATGTACAGTGAAAAAAAACGATAGATCCAAGTAATACTTCTTCAAGTATATTCTAATAATATTTGCTGCCTATCAATATATGTTAGATGATATTTTTATAGTCTATGTACTTTTTCATTACCAACGAACGTATGAAAATAAACGTTAATGAAGAATAGAACGAAGTAATATATTTTAGTAGGGCAGCCATGTGATTTATTATCATCGATTAACATATGTTACGCTTCAATAATTATTCTTTTTCTTTCTTTTCACTGCATGCTGTTTCACTCACATTTGCGATGCAAATAATAACAATTAGACGGCAAAGATGAAAATACTCGAAGTTTGAAGTTATATCAACCAAAAAAGTACATGTAATTGTACTGAGGTTAAAGACTATATAAAGAGGGTTATAGCTGTATTCACAATACAATTTGATGGTATTTTTCGTTGAAATTGAATAATAAAAGTAGATCTTATTATATTGGGTAGTCAAGTTTCTAGTAAGAAAAGAAGCTCAAGGAGAACGTTTGTCGTCTCTACAGAATAATGGAAGAACAGCAAAAAAAATTGTGAGTATCAGATAGATTGCTTTAGCGTTTTTATCACTCACTGCGTTAAAATAGACACTTAATCGATCTCAATCATATTGACATGAGTCACTGTTTGTCCAACCATCGACTTTATCTAGCTCTAAATTTTATACTTTTTTCATTTACATTCTAGAAAGAATATTTTTTAACAAGCTTAGTTATGTTGGTCTTACATAAAATATTTTTAATAAAAAGTAATCTGAAAAGAATGTAGTCTACAAAATAAATGATAAATTAGATTATTTATATTTTTAATGAATTTTATTTATTATTAATGAGAAATACTTCAAAAGTGACAAAAAAAAAAGAATTATTTATTCAAAGTCGTTTTATCATCTAAAACTTGTTGCAGTCAAGATCAATAAAAAATTTTTGTATTCGATGGTTGCTTAGATCGACAACATAAAGATTACCCTGTCGATCAAATGATAAATCGTATGGATTTTCGAGTTCTGCGGATCCGCTTCCCGGTAGATTTTCACCAACGACAGAATCACTTTCTACTGCATCTGTTGACCAACGCCATATTTGATGACTTCCGTTAATCGACACATAAATATTACCTTTACGATCAACAATCACACCTGTGGGACGACTTAGTGAATTGGGATTCTTATCAGAAACTTGCCCGGGAGCAACAAGAATGCCTTCGGTCGCATGTTTCTTCCATTTCATCACACGATTATTTCGATCGTCTGCAACGTAAACTGAATAATATTCATCAACGAAGATATAGTTAGGTTCATTGAGTTGATTTAATTCGTTTCCTTGTCCATTTCCACCAGCTACAACTGTACCTTCTGTATCTCCTTCTCGCCAACGTCTAACATTACCTGTTCCATAATCAGAAATATAAAGATCGCCATTATTATCCATTGCTAAACCCCAACAAAAAATATAACTGATCAATATTTGTTGATCCTGACTATTTTGACGAGACGATCGTACCAATCGTCTGTTGCCCTGATCACAAATGATGAAATATTTCTTCGCTTTATCAAGAACTACATCCAATGGATAATCCAATTGATCTATTGCGTTTCCATATCCTTTTCCACCTGCAACAATTTCACCTCTGCGTGCACCAAATTCCCATCTAAGAATACGATGATTCCCACTGTCAGCAATATAAATACTTTGATTATCATCATCAATATAAATACCAGAAGGCCAATTTAATTGATTTAATGCACTTCCCTGTCCATATTCTCCAGCAATAGTAATTGCATTCTTTTTCCATTTCGTATTGTTATTAGTAACAACACAAGAAATTAAGTGTCCTAGAAAATAGTAAAAAAAATTCAATTTGTTTCAATAGGAAACGAACTAGTTTTAACAAAATCATACCGCTTGTTGTTGATGATGTTGTTGTTGTTAATAATGTTGTTGTTGATAATGTTGCTGATGTTGTTTCTCTTTTATTTTTGTTCACTAAAATAATAGTTATTTGAATAACTATAATTGTAACAATCAAAATATTGAAACATATAATCCAAATTAATTTTCTTCTTCGGAAATGTTCGAGTCTAAAATAAGAAATTCTTTTGATAATTTATTATTATTCATAATATATACATACAATCTTCGTAATCGTGTTTTATTAGGGTTAACTACTGCAGACTAAAATATTTAAAAAGAAAAAAAAGATTATTTTCTTTCTTTTTAATACATTACTTTATCAACTTCAACTCTATCACTCATGCTGATAGTTGTTGTTCTTGGCAAACTTGAATATTGTTTTTGTATTTATGAAATTTGATATATTTCATTAACTAATAGATTTAAATCAAAATGAAATAATGTGAGAAACAAGTTTTATCTTGAATAACCAGTTGAGAATGTTATAAAATTTGCAATAACAAAAAAAGAATCCTATATCAATAGAAACACTAATCTTATTTCCTTTTTTTGCAAAGTTAGTTCTGAATAAAATATTGGCAGATGTGAGCTTTAAATAATATTTATAACAGTAAAAAAGAAAGAGAAAGTCAGAAAACGATGTAAAATGCTGCATAAGATACATTGAGAAAGATAAAAAAATAGAATATTTATTGTTAGAAATGTTTTATATTCTTTACATAATCTTCTGTCGATTATTTCTTATTCTCTTCTTTGTATCGCCATATAATGAATGATATTCGAGACCAATGGAATAATGACTAAAATGACTTTTTTATTCTTTTGCATGTTCATAAGTAGTATATGTGAAATATAAAAACAAAATTTCTAGTTTGTTCTTTCATATTCTTACCTCTTTTCCTTCTGGAATAAACAAAGAATCAAAATTCTGAAATAGTTGATAAAGAGGATAGCACTAGCAGGCTTCGTTCAATGATGGTTTTGATCGAATGAACATTGAATCTGGAAGTTCCGACGAAGAATTCTTAGGGGGGTATGGACTTGTCAAAAAAGTAATGGCTGTTTCAAAGAGTAATGCAATCGATATGCTCCAATTGTTTACAGTCATTCTTGAGACTACTGAAGCAGTGGTGACATTTGTATGAGTTCGAGATTATTTGAAATGGCATGTGTATTTTTTCGACAAATTTTAACATATTCTTAAACTATCTTTATATAAGATATTATTAAAATAAGTCGAGAGAAATCTATTGAATAATAATTTCAATTGTTTTAATTATTATAAAATTAGAAATTATCGTAATGGACGGCATTCACAATCACGATCGTAACTGGTTTTATAAGGAATGTCAGAATCTGATTTTTTAGTTGCAATATGTGATGGAACATGCAAAGTCAAAGCCAAGCTAACGAAAGCGATAATGACTAAATCCATTTTCATTAGAAAATAAGATTAGTTGTTATTTTTGTTGAATAAACTTAGATGAATATACAATTGATTTACATTAAACATGAGCACTTGGGTGAGAGTGTGAGATGAGTATAATATCTAAGCCCACATCTACCCTTTGTTTCTATTTAGAACTTTTTTATTAGATTAAATATTTTTCTGAATTTGAAAAATATTTTATTTGATCTTTTTATCAAAATAAAATTTTTCTAGTTGAATTTTCTTTGAAATTTTTTTAATTTCATTCATTCAAGAAAAATTCTATTTGAATTACTTTATTTATTTTAATTTCTTTTCTTCAAGATTTTTCATAAATTAATGTTTTTTATTTATTTTCAAAAATAAAAATCAAAATTATTAAATTAAATAAAAAATCTTTTTAATTTTAATTTTTTTCAAATTTTTGGACTCGATGATTTCCCCAATCGACAACATAAAGATTTTCTTCGCTATCGAATGATAAACCCATGGGACTATTCAACTGATTTGAATGATTTCCTTCCCCATATCCACCAACAATAATTTCGCTTTCTTCTTTTCCTTCACACCAACGTATTACTCGGTCATTCCTACAATCTGCCACATAGATATGACCCAAATGATCAACAATCAGTCCTTGAGGATTATACAATTGTCTGAGACTATCTCCTTCATCATTTCCACCAGCAACAATAACTCCTTCTTTTGCATCTTTTTCCCATTTCATTACGCGATGATTCCTACTATCTGATATATAAAGAGAATAATCTTCATCAATAAAGATATAAGTGGGATTGTCGAGTTGATTAAGATGATTTCCTTCACCATTTCCACCTGCCACTAATTCACCTTTTTTATCTCCTTGTTTCCATCGTCTTACTTCATGATTCTCACAATCAGAAACATAAATAAATCCATTTTTATCAATCGTTAGACCCGAACAATTAATATTTGAATTTCAAATTTTGAAATAAGAATTTGTCAATTTGTTTGATTTTTATCAAAATCTCCTTGTCCATTTCATCCAGCAACAGTAATTCCAAATTGTTGATATTTATTCTTTTTTGTTTGAACTTGTTCTAAAACAAAAGATTTGCTTTTTATTCAAAATCTTTTTCATTATTTTAAAATAAAATAGGGCAAAAATAATACGAACAAATAATATCTGAATTTGTTTAATAAAATAAAGTTTTCAACTTGTTAAATTTAATTTTTAATCGAACAGAATAGATTTCAAATGATTTCTTTATTCAATTGATATTTTTTAATTAAAAATTGTTTATTTAATTTTCATAAAAGTTTAATTTAAGAAAATCATTTTTATTTTAATGAAATAAATAAAATCGATTAAAAACTTCTTTTTTTATTAATAAATTAAATAGTTTTTTTGTCTCAAAACTCTAACCTAAATATTTAAACCTAACTTAAATCTATTTAAAAACAATATAACCTTTTTTATTAAAATACTAAAAGAGATTTTTCAGAGAGAAATAATCTAAAAATTCTATTCATTCTGAGAAATTTATTTAGATTTAAATTTTCTATTTAAATAAATCTTTTGAAAAATATTAATCATATACAAATTGTTAATTGATTAATGTGTTGAAAGAATATTTTAAATTAATTTTATTTCAATTTTAACAAAATTGTTGTAAACTAAATACTTATATAAAAAAATGAATTGAAAATATTTAATAGAATTATTCTAACTAACACAGATGAATATTTTGAATATATTCTATAGATGAAATGGTGATTTTATTTTTAATAATTAATTAATTAATTGAGGGTGTTGGTGTGGGTGTAGGGGAAGGTAAGAGATAGACCCCTTACTTCCACATACACTCATCTCCTAAATCTCCAATTAATTAAATTCTCTAATGAGACATCACTAATCTGATTGATAAAATTAATTTGTAATATGAAAAACTTGAAAAATATTTCACTTAAACTTCGTTTTCTCTTTTCTCGAAATGAAATAATTGAATAAACATACCGAATGATGAAATAACCGAAATTTTCCTGATATATTCTTGTGAATCTTGTTGAATAAAAATATTTGATGGTTGAAGAAGTTCTTCGATTATCTAGGTTAATTTTAATTGAAAATGTTTTAAATCATTTTCATTAAATTCATTTTCTTCACGGATTTCTCTTAATTTCTGAAATTATTCAATAAAATTTTTTCAACATCAGTGATCGTTTTTTGTGTTAATTTCATCAGTGTTTCTCAACATTCTTCTGCCGTTTGCTGGATTGTCTCAATTGAATTTATTTCCCATTGATTAATTTGTTGAATTAAAGAAGAATTGTGTGGATTTTGTTTTTGTTGAATAATTGTTTGTTGAAATTGACCATGATCATTAATAATTTCATCTAACTGTCTATGAAGAATTTGTCGATGTTCTGTTAAATGTTGAAAACAGAACTCATTTGAACATCCTTTACAACTGTATGTATTTTTTTCTTTATTACAGGTAAAGCATTGGGCTCTGCTGTTTATTGTTGCCATGTGTTGAAGAATTTGAAAAAGAAATGAATGTTGGCTCTCATTCTGTCTGTGTATTTATTTGTACAAAACAAAATGAGTCGAAGTCAATAAAGATCAGTAGGTAGTAAAAAACGAAGGAAACCTTCTTTTTGGATAGGTAAGAGATCTTTATCATAAAAATAACTTAATATTCTTTGACATTCAATGAAAACTAAGTCTCTTCAAAGAAGATGAGTTACAAAAATTTTATTGATCTTTCGTCTCTTATATGAATTGAGATACAAATATATCGTAATTTTCATTGAATAACAAAATGAAATTTCGAAAAGATATCATTTATAATCTATTCAATTGTCTTTACTTCACTGACCAATTTAATATTTTTTCGATATGATGATCAAGGTTTTTGTTGAACTTGAAGAAAATAAAATAAAAAGGAAAATTATTTCGAAATGATGAATTCTTTATTATTAATATTTTATCCGAAAGAATAAACTCGATGATATCAGAGAAATATCTTTTTTCATAACGAGAAAAATCAATTTGATGTCATTTCAAAACTATCATTCAACTTAATTATGTATTTTTTTCTTTTGAAAGTAAAGACGAATGTTAATACCGTTATCAATATTCCGAAATCTTTGTCACCTTAGAAATTATTTATAGAGAATCATCTGGAAAAAAAACAAAGAGATTTTTCTTCGTTTTTTCTTGTCAAAGAAATTTCTTCTCTTCAAATTTTATCCGATTTTTTCATTGATTTTCATCAGTAAGACTAGACTGATTTTTGATTTTTGATTTCTCCATTTTTTATTTAACAAAAAATTTCAATCACAATATTATTTCAAATTTTTCAATTCGATGATTTGAAAAATCAGCAACATAAAGATTTCCCTCATCATCAAAAGATAAACCATGGGGACGATTCAGTTGATTTGATTGATTTCCTTCACCATTTCCACCAACAACAATTTCACCTTCTTTTTTTCCTTCACACCAACGCATTACTCGATCATTCCAACAATCTGCCACATAGATTTGACCCAAATCATCAACAATTACTCCGTGAGGTGAAGATAATTGATTGAGATTTTCTCCTTGACCATTTCCTCCAGCCACAATTGTTCCTTCTTTTGCATCTTTTCTCCATTTCATCACACGATGATTGCTTGTATCTGATACATAAACAGATTCATCCCCATCAACAAAGATAAAAGTAGGATAACTGAGTTGATTGAGTTGATCTCCTTGTCCATTTCCACCTGCCACTATAATTCCTCTCTTGTATTCCCCCATTTTCCATCGTCGCACTTCATGCTTTTCCCAATCAGAAACATAAAGATATCCATTTTTATCTATTGCTAAGCCCCAACAGTGAATATTCTGAATGAGAATTTCTTGATTTTGATTAAACCATTGAATTACTCGCCTGCTTCCATGATCAGCAATGATAATCGAATGATTTTGTTGATCAACAATCACATCTGTTGGCCCATTCAGTTGATTCATTCGATTTCCTTGTTTATTTCCACCTGCAATAATTTGTCCTTCTTTTGCATTATATTTCCATTCAACAATACGATCATTTGAATAATCAGCAATGAAAATATTTTTATTTTTATCAATAAAGATTACGTGGGGGTAATTGCACTGACTTAATCGTTGTCCTTGCCTGTTTCCACCAGCCACAGTGATGGCATTTTGTTTCCATTTATTAAATTTTGATTCTAGAGAATGATGCAAACAAAATATTTTAATAAAAAGGAGAAAATTTGTTTTTGCTCGAAGAAAAAAGAAATTATTAGGTAAAAACTTACTTGCTGATAAAATAATTGAAATTTCACTAATGAATGATTGTGAATTTTCTTTAATAAAGATCTTTGATGAATTATTTAATTCTTGTGTAATTTCTATTAATTCATTTCTTAAATATGTTAAATTAATTTCATTAAATTCATTTTCTTGATGAATTTGTTTGATTTGTCTAGATAAATCATTAAATTTCTGTTCAATATTGTTAAAGTATGTTGGTAAATATCCCATAGCAATTTTTCTACATTCTTCTGCTTTTTGTTGAATTATTCCAATTGAATTTCTCTCCCATTCATCAATTTGTTTTATTAATATATGATTTCGTCGATTCTGTTTTTGTTCATTAATTCTTTGTTTAAATTCATTATATTCATTGGTAATATAATTTAATTCATCATTTAATATTTGTTGATGTTTTGTTAAATCCATTAAACAAAATTCTTTTGAACAACCTCTACAAGGATATGTTATTTTTTCCTCATTACATGTAAAACATTTTGTCTTATTATTTGCCATTGCCATGTCGCTGAATATAAATTTATAAATGAAATGAACAATCGCCTTATCGACTTATTTAGATATTGTGATGGATTTCATCCATCACTATCTTTTAAATATTCTTGACCGAACATGCCCGCCATGCATATACATACACACCGATCAGTCGTTCCGTTACATATATGACCTCTCTCCTCTTATATGACCCCTATTTTATATCAAAATAATTATTCTTACTTCACCATAACCCTATAATCGAAAAGAAAAAAAAGCCTGTTAAAGACTAAATCAAGCAATGAATTAAAGTTGTTTAATAAGCATAATAAAGAGTGAGAGAAAAAAGAAAATATATAGATATCAACAAAATAAAGAAACATAGATGAAAAGAAGGTATATTTTGTTTATAAGAGAATGTAATTTATTAATCTTCCATTTGTTCGACAATCAAGGGTGTTGATAATTTGCGTTGAAGACTTTTCTCAGTAATATTTGATGAATGATTAGTTTTCACGACTATAACAGCTATATCATTAGTTGGACTGGTTTGCTTTTTTTTTATGAATTTTTTATATATACGATTATTTATGGTACGACATACAGGAATGATTAATAATTTGACAACAAGAAAAACTAAACCGAAGACTTCTAAAACGACAATAGTAAAGAGAAGATTTCGAAATACGACTTCTGTTTGTCTGGCAATTGGTTGTTGTACATTACTAATATAGAATATATTCTCATCGATTGTAACACTAATATTCGTTTGTGTTCGATAAAAGAATGTGTATCGAGTTTCATTAACAAAAAGTTCATCAGAATTGACACTGAACGAATATGACCATATACCACTAAATGTCGATAATCCATTATCATTTAATGGATCAGTTTGATTAACAATTTGAGTTAATTCAATAGGAAATGTCGTTGAATCAGCAAGTACTTCATTAAGTGATGATGGAACATAAGTTGACGCAAAATTGAGATCCAATAATTTGAACCTTAAAAGTAGAAAAAATAATTTCTTATTAATATTTTTAAAATATATTTATTTCCTACCTTCCCTCTTCCAGTTCTGCTGAAGGTCCGCTTACACCAATACGAATAGCTCCAACAGTTTTTAACCCTGGTAATACAAGTCGAACACTAATCTCCTGAACTGGAAGTAAGATTGCCAAACTTAAAATAGTTTCATTATGATTCGTTTCACATTTCTTAATTGGTATTATAATAATTTTAGAACCTTTGAAACGTTGTACATAGAAACTATCATCACAAGTAAATGCAGTTTGAATAAGATCAATATTAAGTGTAAATACTTGAGCATCAAGTAAATCAAACATAGATTGACTTTCTTTTGTAGTACGACGAGGAGCCCATCTTTTTTGAGTTGATGTAGTAAATTTTGCATTACGTAAAGTAATATCACATGCAAATGAGCTGTTGCTAGTTACTTGTTCAATTGGATATTGTTGAAGATAAGAATTAGAAAAATAATATGCTGATATAATAAGAACAATTATTGCAGCTGAAATTAGACCACCAATCCATAGCTAAAGAGTAAAAATATAATAAGAATTGCATCATTTTTATTAAATCTGAATTGAAATACCTCTCCTTCGCCGATAAGATCCATTTTTTTGAATATATATTTAGCTCGATCGCGCATTGAATGATGATGAGGACAACATGCTTCTGAAATTGCCATACCAATCACAATAGTTAAGCCAATTATTGTGACAACAAATACCCAAGTGATTGGTGATACAACCAAACAATGAGCTGATTTCAAACTGATGCTAAACATATTTTGCATGAGTAAATCATCGAAGACAGTATTCTCAGGTGAATCAGGATATTCTTGATCTTGATCAATTGATTCAAATGCTGTATAAGAAACTTCACCAACAGCTCCATACGAACAGAATAAGCCTTCAGAACAATTATTTGATGCTGAAGAAGGATAACATAATTCAATGCTAGCATAATCTCGACTAGTACCACGATTACAAGGAAGAGAACTGGTAATGGATAAATGTGTGTCTGTATTTGCATAGGTATTTGGAGGAGCGCTAAGAATTGCTATTCCATTACCTAAACGATCTAGAAGACCCAGGTGACCAAAAGGAGAACAAACGAGACGAATAAAAGATGAATCCATTGTTAGATGAAGGATTTGTTGACCATTAGGATAAACAAGAATCGATTGTGTCGAATCAAAAAGTCCATCAGTTTGAATATCATAAACATGGACTAATGATGAAATCCATTCATAAGTTGTATATGTATACGTATTAGCTAGAACTACTGCTTTCTGACCAGTCTGATCTAACCATGCTACACTTTTTCCAAAGCCCATGTATCCAACTCCATTCGAACGACTACTAATTGGAGATTGAGTATTATTTATTGCGTACAAGAAAACTGTATTCAGTGATTGAACACCGATTAATACATTTTGTGTATACCAACAAATACTCACTGACATGACTAGCTGTGCGGTATAAACTCGACTTTGAGTAATCAAACGAACAGAACGTGGATCACTCCATGGATAATGATTAGCAGTAGAAATATTAAATTCACTTATAATATTTGGACATGATAAGGATGTATTTAACTGAATAAGAAAACCACATTCAATGGCAACTGTAGAAGATGATTGACAATATCCAGCTACAACGGCATAGTTTTGATTTGAACCGATATCCATTCCTCGAGGAGAAATATTCAATGTATTTGGCCAAACGGTTAATTTAGTTGTTGGATATAATTGATAAAATAATATAAAATCATCAGCAATACCATATGCACCAGTACTATCTCCATTAATACCAATAACAAAATTGTCTTGTGTAGTATAGTTAGTTACGATCTGTTCATCACTCAGTTGAAAATTACACGTACCATTACCAATAAAAAGACCAATAACATTATTCCCTTGGATATCAATACAATTATAAACGAATGACATATTATTTGAGATTGGCACCACAACACTATAGACAAAATCACAGCTTGTCAAACTATATTCTATATCACAGTTAGTATCGGCTGCATATGGAAATAGTCTCACGTACCAAGCCGAAAATAAATTATCAGCAGCGACGTCAAATCGATCATTTATGGCAATTTTTATTCCATAAAGATCGTAATCAGTAGAAACTTTCGTGTACATTAATACAGGATGCATCAAGAGAAATAGGACAGTAATTTTGATATATAACATTACAAATAAATGAGTACTTGAATATTTTTCAAATGCTTATCGTTGTTTTTCTTCTCACATGCATATATCTTTTTAATAACAATCATGAAATGAACAATGTTTCCGTTCTCATATACATTATTTCAATATGCGAGTGGGTGACAAGGACAATGAAATTACTAATGATAAACGACAGTACAGGATACATTTCTAAATAATAAAATGATGATAACGAGTTCAATCTCTTGATTTGTTTTTCTCTATCAGTGAATATTAAAGTAATGGAAGGAAAGAATTCAGAAGTAATTGATAATGACAAGAAATAAATGAACTTTTTTTATAATATGAACGTCATCAATTTAATTTATTCTAGTACAAAAATATATTATTATTTTTGAAATTATTTCTTTTCGATATATGTTTTGATTTTACTTTATTCAAAGAATCTTTTTTTTTTACATATAATTCATGTAGAATAAAGAAAAGTTTAAAAATATCGCGATCGTGCTCCTTACATATCTTGCATAACAAGATAATCTTCAGGAGTATTGAATGAAGGAGTTGATCCGATTCGTTGAACTGATCGATAGGCAGGCCAAGTTTTTATTTCTGCATAGAAAGTATTGCCTGGACAGCTTGTACTATCAAGATCACTAGAAAAATATAATTTATTGAGATGTATGTTTATTGAATTATATTAGTACGAACCGATGTCCTCGAAGGATATAATTACTTTGAATAATACCTTTAGAAATACCACATTGAATCAAAGCTTTTACTGCATTTAAAGCTGCAGTATTTGGTTTAAGAGAAGTATAATCTCCGATGACCGAAATGCCTATAACATCGTAACATAAAATAAATGATTATAAATCAAGTTATACTCTACCAATAGATTTAGAATTATAACCAATACAATGAGCACCAACTAATGACCATCCTCGTCCTTCATAAACATTTCCATCTTCACCAACTAAAAAATTATATCCAATATCAGCCCAACCTAAAAATAGATAGAAATTCGTTTATATTAATCAAGTAATTTCTTCAATATCAACGTTTACCATTGCTATCCATATGATAATTTTGAAATCCTTTCATCTTTGATATACAAGAATCTTTTGTTGTACATGTACCACCAGTTGTATGATGAATAACAACATAGGAAACAGGAGTAGCCATGTTTGTTTTACTTGTTGCTGCTCGAGCTCCCCAACCAGCACGGCTAATAATATTTGGACAATTGCCAGCTAATCAGAATATCAATCTTTACATGTATAGTTTTTAACTGTAGACTTACTTCCAGTCGTTGTTCCAGCTGAAAAACAACATTTTATATCAGCTGGTTGACTTTCACATAGATTCGATATATAATTAGAATTTGGACATTTAGAAGTTTGAATACATTTGCCAGTTTTGCCATATTGAGGATGACTGTATGATTCACATGAATCGCCTTATTTGTATCAATAAAATAAACAAAACTTAGATATGATGATAATGATTTCTTCATATCTTACCAACAATCGATGTTACCAAAAGAGCAGCAATAGCAAATAGAAAAAGCATTTTTTTATAGTAGCAAAAAAAATGTATGTTGAAGCTTACAATATCATTTAGTTTTATACCAGAATCAATCATCATTCTGATATTTATTGAAACTCGATATACAAATCAAAGAGACTCATGTGATTTAAATTTGATTATACATTTCATATCGAAAAATATTTTGTCTTTTTTTTACGAAATAATGCGTTTTATCTCTTAGCAAATATTACAATTTATTGTCTTACATTATAACTGTAATTCAAATAGAAATAGTTCTGTCTGGTAAGATCGCATTTTGAAATAAAGTTGGTGTTTATTGTACGGATTGATATTAGTATTAAAATATTGAAAAATTAATTTCGATAAAGATAAACTATTGTTTTTGAACTGAAAAATTTAACTTTGTACAAAGATTTCGAAATCTTGTATTAAAATTGAAAAAGTCTTTATAAAAATATCAAGTATTACATAAATAATTTTATTAAAAAGGTTTTCAAAATAAATCAAAGAGAGCATATAATCGGTTACATACATATTGTTTGATATATTAATAAATCTAATATTTTTGCTTCTAAATTTTATATTAAGATAAATTATGATTACATAAACAAAAACGTTATTTTTTCTTTATGAAGTTAATTATAGCAGAATGAAGTTTCGAATAATTCTTTAAATCACGTTTCGTATTTATTTTTCCATGTTTTACGTAGATAGAGACACATTTTATACCGAAAAGAAGAAAATTATTTTGTTCATGTCTTTTTCATAGAGGCAGTTTATTTTTGTCATGCGCTTTTTTAGTCACAATTGACGTTATATTTTGGTAATAAATATAATGACATGTGTATGAATATGAGGAAAATATGAAACCGTTTCGGTTGAATAATCTCAAAAGAAAAATAGACTGATATTTAAATGAGTAATACAGACATGAATAATATATTTACCTCGTTAGACACTATTTATTTCAAACGAAATAAAATATATCGAGAGAGAAAAAGAAAAATATAATTTATACGTCATTTATTCGATCGTCATATCAATACAAGTCGTTATTTTTTTATAAATCTAAGATTTTTTCGATTCGTTTTTGATCAATTACAACATTAAATCAAATGAGTAAGTCTTCGTATTTTACTAATCTAGGCTGTTATAAAGATAATATTTTTAATAATTTCAAAAATTGATGATATTCTATGAGATTTTGTACATTAAATCTGAGAAGAAAGTATTTGGTTATGTAGAATAAAAAATAAACTAGCAAAGCTTTCGCGATTTTTATAATCTGAATATATATTTTTTTATATAGGTTTCATAACAAAAGCATTAGAGAAAAAATTGCATATGGATCTAAATGGAGATGGTGTGATCGGCTCTAGTAAGGATTATTATATTATTTAAAATATTGTATGTTAAACAATTGTTTCGTTTTGAAAAAAAAGACCATAGAGGTGGCCTAGTTGATAAATTGGAAAGAGCTACTCATGTGGATATTAATGGTGATGGACGTATTGGTCGACCACCTCCTTATGCTTCAAATTACAATCAACATGGCAACAATGCTTTGATAGATGAATTGGAAAGAGCCACCAATACAGATCTCAATCATGATGGACGTATCGGTGGTTCCTCATATCCTCCACCTCCTCGTTCTTATAATGGACCTGGTTATACTCCAAATTTTAATCAATCTGCCAATGATGGTATGATAAATGAATTGGAAAAAGCTACAAACATAGATATCAATCACGATGGACGTATTGGTGGTGGCCCATCAAACTATCCTCCTCCAAATTTTCAACCATTCGGTGGTCCTTCATATCCACCGCCTCCTAATTCTTATAATGGTCCTGGTTATCCTCCGAATTTTAACCAAACAGGCAATAGTGGTTTGATAAATGAACTGGAAAAAGCTACGAACATAGATATCAATCATGATGGACGCATCGGCGGTGGTCCATCAAACTATCCTCCTCCAAATTCTCAGCCATTTGGTGGTCCATCATATCCTCCACCACCTAATTCTTATAATGGTCCTGGATATCCTCCAAATTTTAACCAATCTGGTAACGATAGTATGATAAATGAACTGGAAAAAGCTACAAATATAGATCTTAATCATGATGGACGCATCGGCGGTGGTCCATCAAACTATCCTCCTCCAAATTTTCAACCATTCGGTGGTCCTTCATATCCTCCACCACCTAATTCCTTTAATGGTCCTGGTTATCCTCAAAATTTCAATCAGTCTGGCAATAACAGTATGATAAATGAATTGGAAAAGGCTACGAACATAGATCTCAATCATGATGGACGCATTGGTGGTGGTCCTTCATATCCACCACCACCTAATTCCTATAACGGACCTGGTTATCCTCCGAATTTTAACCAATCCGGTAATAATAGTATGATAAATGAACTCGAAAAGGCTACAAACATAGATCTTAATCACGATGGACGCATCGGTGGCGGTCCATCAAACTATCCTCCTCCAAACTTTCAACCATTTGGTGGTCCTTCATATCCACCACCACCTAATTCCTTTAATGGTCCTGGTTATCCTCCAAATTTTAATCAAACTGGTAATAGTGGTTTGATAAATGAACTGGAAAAGGCTACAAATATAGATCTCAATCACGATGGACGCATCGGTGGTCCACCTAATCAATATCCATATAGCAATCCTTATGGTTATTAGCATTGAAATCTATATACACTGTAATACAACTATTTTCTTCTATAAACTTTACTAATAAAGTCTCGAAATAATTAATTATCATACACGCTTTAAAAGCCATAAAATTCACATAATAATCGATATGTGAATAATCAATTTGACTGAACCTATCTGAAGTAAGTATCAAGTTATTCACAAGCCTAAGAATGCCTGTGAGCTCATGCTATGAGCATATGAAGAATTTGTACTTATAATCCTTATCTTCTGCTATATTCCATTTAGACAATGGCTACTATTTTCATCTTTTATTCAATATAAACAATAAATATAAAATAGAACATTATCTAAATTTTGATATTTTTGTTCGTTTATACCAATGGTATTATGACTACATTTGGTCGTTGTTTTATTCTTTTCATCATAGAAGCTTTCAATGGCTTCGTAAAATAAAATAAAGCAATCATCACACATACAATTGCTACATCAGCAAATATATAAGCAATTCGAAAATGATATTTTGGTGGAGTAGTAAAAAATGATATCAAGATAAATAATGCATAAGGAAAACAAAGTATAACTAATATCATTACAATTATAACTGTTTGTTGAACCATTTTTAATTCTCGTTGAGCACGAACTAAAGTATTAGCGGATGTAACACGTTTACTCATTTCTTTTACATATCGAACTAATTTAAAATAAATAAACATAATCATCAAGACTGGAATCATATACGCACAATGTACAAGATAAATTATAGAGAAAGACAATTGAAAAGGTAATTGACATATTTGATTATCACTATTGTAGATAACTTCACCAGTAAATATAAATGCGAAAGGAAATACGAAACTAAATATCCATGTTAAACAAATAAGTAAAATATAACATTTTATTGATTGCCAGAATAAAAGATTAGGATACACCACAATCATATATCTACTTATTGCTTGTATTAGAAATGAATAATTGAATAGTGCACATGATACGTAAGTAGTATAACCTCGAAAGATACATAATGAATCTTGATAATAAATTTGTTTCAAATCATTTTCAAATGTAAATATATGTAAATTAAGTATACAACAACCAGCTATAAATGCAATCAAAAATGAATGAGCAATTAATATTATAGATTTTGTATGACATGTTTTATCCAAAATGATAATTAATAGAGAAAGAACAGCAAGTATAATGACTAAAGTAATACATATGATTGCAAGAATATCCAGAGGAATAAACCATGGTTGAAAATCTATTGTAGATGAGTTCATCTTTAAAGAAAAATATGTAACAAGAAATTATTATTTAAATATTAATATACATGTTTTCTTTCTATAATGACTTTCATTCTTAAAAATAGGATGACGGACTTGGCTTTACTGTTAATAAAAGTCTAATATTACTTTAATACTTTCATATTAATACCTACGATAGTTATTAGTACTTCTTTCAAATATACTGTTTGAACCCGAATAGTAGATTCTATCTAATTAAATAGAAGAAGTTATAATAACGCATTCTGCAGTAATCCTGCGTCATATTACAATGGCGTAGTTTTGATCAAAATTAAACAAGTATACGATATATTCATTTTTAGTCAATAGACTATGCTCTAAAATTTTATGATTGTTGTAATGTTGAACAAGGTAATTGAAGAGTGTATATTTACAACCTCAATCAAATGATTTCTTATCTCATTCTTCTTGTTTACCATAACTATATCAAATTTTTCCATTATAAGTAATATAAGGAGAATTTAATTTATTCTCAGCTAGCTAATGATACGAAACTGAATACTGTTGAAAGATATATTCTTCTGCAAAATAATCAGTTCCTATATCTTACCACACATAATAATTATACATCGTTATTCATACTTCAATCCTACGTTTTTTTTGTCGATGAAACGTAGTTTTTGAATAATAAATCCAAAACAAAAAAAAACTTCGTCACCCGTAATTCAAAGATCGGATAATTATATATTTGCATTTTTCTCTGAATTATCATTACTTTGTATATTATTTTTTATCGTTCGACCAATCAGATATTTTAGTAAGATTTATATAATTATAATTTTTTTTTCGCTACCATGCCGAGAAAAAAATTCTCTATAATAATTTCTTATAGAAAATATTTGTTTTAATGCTGCGCATAATTCTTTTGATGAAAGTATCAAGTCTACTGAATATAATTGACTTATTTGTGGCATCTTCATATCTTGTTGTGATGGCATAAAAAATAAATTAATATCATAAGTGAATATTATATACGCATGTTTGAATGTGTATTTATATTCATATAATAATGTATATTTTATTTGAATTCGAGGTGTACGTGAAAATATAATAATTATCTCACAAACTCAGTAACACCTACAAATAGTCTCAATACAGTGGTATTGAAATTTTCTTTTTTTTCATATTCGTTTAATATTATTATTAATAGTATATTTTAAAAACGTTAAAAATGTTAATTTGTAACTTGCGAAGAACCAATAACAGAGATGATTTTTATTATTTGGTCATCAGTTGCTCATCCTCCATTGCACGAAAAGGACATAGACCCAAGACCATAACGTATTATGTCAGTAATAGTAAATGAAGACCAATATACTGTATCAAGAACAGAAATACTATCCAGACTAACTGAACCAACATAGGAAGCAATTTTTGATCGACTTATATCAAGATTTTCACAATATTAATCCTAATATTCATTTCTATTCTTCCTTTTCCCAAATTCCATTCAACTCCACCAAGTTTATAATTTCCAATAGGCATATCGTTCGTATTAGCGGAAAATCCCTAATATTATTGATGAAGATAGGAGACCGATTGTAATAAATGACAATATTTTTCAATACTTTCGATTTATCTTTTCTAGCACTTGTTTGTACAAATATATTTATATATTGTCCAAATGTCCAAAACAGATCTTATAGATGAATTCATATTATATTTTAGGTAAATATACAATTTCATACAGTATAAAAATTCAAAGCAATTATCATAGACACTTATAAAAGTTACTTCATATTTCCATTCCATACTTATGTAAATATGTAAACACGGCATGTTTTCCTTCTTCATATTTGCATATCATTTGAGAATATTACATACTTATTCATCATTAAGTGTTTACTAACGAGAAAATATTCTCATATATTAAACACTGTTCGATTAACGGTTCATCTATCTTACAGCACTTAGTGAATTGTGTCTATGCGCACGAACTTTCAATTGAAAAATGTTCTCGTTAGTGTAGTTATTGAATATTTATATTAAATACGATTCAGAAAAAAAGACAAAAATGAACTTGTGCATAAGTATTGATTAAACTAAGTGATTATAAGCAGTTTTTATTAGTTTATGAAGAGTGATTTGTTGTATTTCTTGATCTAAAATATATATAGTTAATACTTTTGATTCTTGCCAGCGACCGGTTTAAAATATTTGGGTAACTGTTCTCGCGTTTTCGATACTTCATTTGATTTGTCAGAGATCGGTTTGGAATATTTGGGTAGCTGTTCTTGCGTTTTCGATGCTTCATTTGATTTGTTAGGGACCGGTTTAGAATATTTGGGTAACTGGTCTTGCGTTTTCGATGTTTCATTAAATTTGTCAGCGACCGGTTTAGAATATTTGGGTAACTGTTCTTGCACTTTTGATGCTTCATTCGATTTGTTAGGGACCGATTTAAAATAGTTGGGTAACTGGTCTTGCGTTTTCAATGCTTCATTTGATTTGTCAGAGAAAGGTTCTGGATGAATTAAATTAGAGTGTTTCTCTATAAAGTATCGAACACCATTGAATAATGGTAGACCAATGAGTTTCATACCGATAAACATAAGGCCAAATAATTCCAAACAGACTGTTGTAAAAAGAAGATTATGAAAAATAATTTCCGATTTCTTGGCAATAGGTTGTTGAACATTCATAGTGTAATAGGTTACTTCTGAGATAGAAATTGTGAATGTTGTTTTTAATAAGCCATAGTACATATATTCCTCATAAGTAAGAAACAGATCTGAAGTACTACTAGTAGTTACTGGACTCCATAGTGCATTGTACGAATATAATCCGTTGTCATCAAGTGGATAACTTTGGTTAATGATGCGAGTCAGTTCATACACAATGGTTGGATCATAAGCCATTGTTTGATTGTAGACAAAGAATGGTTGAACGAAATTGAACTCTTGAACAAAGTAATTTGAATTGCTAGATTTATTATCTAATTCGATTTGTTCACTATAGAAACTAATGCGAAAACCACCAATTGATACAGCTTTAGCAAAATTGTAAATGAGAGATACTGTATGCGATTGAAGAGTAGTAGAAACAGTAACTGTAGATCGATTATAAGTGCAGTTCGACGATATTACTTGCGAATAAGAATGAACGATTTGTGTAATTGTTACATCATCGCAAGTCTGTTGTGTATTAATGAAATCAATGGTAAGTTTGAAATGCTGCTCGTCAAGCAGCTCAAATATCGGTTCGACTTCTTCACTACGTGGTGTTGTGAGAGATTGAAGATTTGTTTGAAATTTTGCGTTACGAATCGTCTGATCACATGCAAATGTTGATGGTGGTGCTGTTTCAATTGGATATTGATTGAGATAAGAGCCACTGAAATGGTAGGCAAACATAACTAAAACAATTAGAGCGAGAGAAGCAAGTCCGCCAACCCATAATTCTCCTTCACGAATAATATCTGCTTGGCGAAAAATACGCTTGATCATAAGACGAGTTTTAGCGTGTTGTTTGAAGAATTTGAGAATACCCATAATAAGAAGAATAAGCACTACAAAGCCAGTCATAACCATTGTCCAAAATACAGGTGAGACCATTAAACAGGACGTTGAAGTACCAAAGCTAAACATATTCACGATAAGAATATCATCAAAAATAATCGATTCTGGTGATTCTGGATAACTGACTTCCTGTGAAATAGATGTGGTCATATCAGAATAAGTATCATTCGTGATAGAACCAAGTGGACAAATTGAAGTTTCTTCAGCACACCCGTACGTTGAACATTCAAAGTTTCCGTCATCTGTATTCATTTGTCCAGCTGTACATGGATAGCAAATGTAAACACCTATCCAATTTTTGTAGGTACCTGCAGGGCAACTAGTCGGACTAGAGAATGTAGGATTCGTACCGATGGCTACACTTGTATCAGGATAAAAACCTTCTGCAGCTGCCAACATGACATATACTTGTCCAGATGAATCGAGAAGTACAAGGTTAAGAGTTCCCATAGCAATAGTGAGTAGTTCTTGTTGTAAATCTACCCATAGTGGACATTGAACTGTAGGAAGCATTGGCATGATTGGGTTGCTTGAGAGAAACTGTGCCGGATAGAACCAGTAGATAATTGAACTGGACCACTCGTAAGGAAACGTGTATGTATTTGCTAGTATAACAGGATATGGACCTCCAGATTCATCACTCCATCCTAAGCTTTGACCATAACCACGCTGATAGCCATTCTCACGTTGTCCAAACACAGTCAAATTCGTTTCTTCTATGTTAAACCAGAAAACAATGTTAAAAGATGGCATACCAACAAGTACAGCTGATGTATTATCATGAATAGAAACACTCATCATATGTTTTCTTGTAAAAGTGGATGCATCTCGATTCGTTGTTGTGGCTTGCCATGAGCTGCTTGATGGTACATATGGCCATGTTTCAACAATACTGTACGAGCTAATATTCATTTGTAGCATGTAGATATAAGGGTTATATACGTTTTGTGCTGTAGTAACAAAGCCAGCAATAATAGCCATATAGCTCCTGCTCACATCAACAGCATGTGGTGTAAAATTAGGTATAGGCCATTGTTGAAGAAGAGTAATAGTATGTGTTTGCAAATCGTAGCTGAATGCAAATCGGCTCGAGAATCCGTACGCTTGTTGACCACTTGGATCGACACCAACTACAAAAAATTCATCATGTCCAGATGAATTAAAGTATTGAATATCATATGTAGCCATACATGATGAATTTACACGTAAATGTCCAACAAATGGATATGGTGATGTCGAATTATCAGTATTTTCACCAACAAAAATCACCGATGCACCATTAACATCACCTTCTGGTACGACTATATTATAAATGAAATTCGTATCGTTTGACTTACTACCCGCATAATTAACATGACATGGTGATGATACATTTGATGCATTGAATGGAGCAAATTGTATAACGAAATAAGCATCGATATTACGCGCTTGTACTACCACATTATCGTTAGTTGCCAATTTTACACCGTATGCATCGAATTGATTCCAGTTATCATCTGTAAAATCATATGATAATACCATTTGTATAAGTACGGAAAAAAGTAATCGTTGAAGAATCATATTGCAATAGAAGAGTAATGACAGACGTTTTTTTACGATTTTTGAATCGTAAAGTAATGAGAGTCAGTACAAAATGTATAGTTGTTTTTCTATTATAAATGATCGTGAGCGCTCTAATATATATAGTGTTATATATTGACAATGTTTTTTTCTGAAACTAATTGAAAGTAAATAATCAGTTTCTCGATCAAGAAATAATTAGAGAGTCAATTAATGAAACTCAAATAAATAATACTCGTAAGAAAAATAATTGTTTCTCATTAGAAGAACATTTTCAAACCAAAATGTCAATATTATATTTTATTTACAAATAATTTCAAACTAATTATTTTTCACCTATATTATAAAATAGTACATGCACTTTTAGAAATATTTATTCAGGACATCGTCATGATTTGTTCTTATAATAGCTATGTACGTCACACAATAAATCTATAGTGATCAAGTATTCTAGTTTTAGAGTCAATATTTTCATATTTCTTTACATCAAATTGAACTATTTTATTTCTCATCAGTTTTTGTACTGTTCAGATTGGCTTATTTTTTTAATATTGAATTTATAGAGACAAACGTTTTTGAATAAATCTTATACATCATAGACAATATTTTAAAGAACGACAGAATCATTTCTAAAATAGAAACTACGATTATTTTGCAGAAAATATATGTATTCCACTTTGAATGTGTTTGTCTTTCTCAACTTTAATATAATGAGGATGTCGGCGATGATACATGCTCACGTTATACGAAGAATTAGATTATCCCTTTAGTCTAACGGTGTGAATTCGAGTCTCACGAAGGTCATCATTTTTCTCCTTTATATGACTCATACCGTCAGCAGCTTGCAAAAATTTTCTCATTTTTAGGAGAAAGAATGAATCTGGTATGAAAACCAATGAGCCGACACTCAAAGTTTCTAGCTCATCATCGAAGCACATTTTGATACGAGGATTGTGCTGCTGAATTTCTGGTTCTTCTCTCGATATTATATATTATCACAAGCAATATTTGTTAGATACATCAACAAAAATAGCTTTACATGAAGTTTCTTTGATTTAACTACATATTAATTTTTCCGTTAAGCCAAATGAAGAGTGTATGCATTAATGATGATTGCAAGGAAGGAAAGATAAAAATATCGTAGCCTAAAAGCTTCGTTCTCGGATTGATTGCTGTTTTTTTACTAAAGTGAAAAAATGATGACGGACACATCAGTGATCATTGCAGTAAAAGAGATTTGAAATAGTGTGTTTCTTCATGTTTTATCTATTCATTCTTTTTCAGCTTCAATTCTCGTTAGATAATACGTAACAGTAAATGAAATTTTACGATTTGATTGTACTCTAAAGAATATCAATGATATCTTTCAGTAGTAGAGCTTATTCTACTGGTAGAAAATACGTTCGTGAATATTTTTTCTTGTTGCACTTACGACTAAACAATGAAATTAACCTAGTCTCATTACTTACTATTATGTCTTTATATCATTCTCTTCTCTTACTATTCTTATCTCGCACATTTTTTTTCTTCAAAGTTTTGATAAAGAATATACATTTTTTTTCTTTTCTTTGATAAAATGGTCAATAGTATCACATTTTGTTCATTTATAAAAGAACGAACTTTTATCAATACAAAGGTAAGTCTTTTTTAAAACTTGAAAATAAATTATAGTACTCGTTCGAAAGAAAATAACACAAAAAAAAATTAATTGACAATTTCCTGATTGATAGTGATAGTAGAATATGAGAAGAGATCTCTCGAAATTTCAAGTATTAGCTGTTCTATTGAATAGCTTATATTTATACGAGTGGTTTTTAAAGGTTCTATAGCATTTACGATAATTCTATCAAATCGGGTCATTTTTGTGAATATAAAAAGAAACTTTCAATCAGTTTTATTTTTACAGTATTAAGTATAAGAGAGAGATAAATATGCATTATATAATTCTACACATACACTTCAAATGTCGTGCAAGATTATAGTATTAAGTTTATTTCTAGTTAAAAGTAGACCATTTTGAATTTCAATTGAGTTCTTATTATCTTGAAATTGAATGGGATTACCAACACTGAGCGTCATCGATTATGTTGTCTTGGTACTATTACTATTATTATCAGCTGTCGTGGGTATCATCTTTGGCTGCGTCAAGTCTAAGAAGATCTCAACTAAAGAATACTTTTTAGGTACGTAGAATAATTATAAGATCATTGTAATTGTTTTTGATTTCAGCTGATGGCGAAATGCGTGTATTTCCTACGGCATTAAGTATTATGGTCTCCTTTCTTTCCGCCATTACTATATTAGGTACTCCGAGCGAAGTATATATGTCTGGAACAATGTTTTGGTATCAAGGTAAGAAAAATAAAATCATGATGATATTTGTTTATTTAGTATTACTGTTTGTTTCAATTTACAGCTGCTGCATGGAGTATCGCATCGATGGTGACAGCTTTTATTTTCATGCCTAAATTTCGTGAAATGAACTTTACAAGTATTTATGAGGTTTGATACTTATACATGTGCCTAAGAATGTAGAAATTAAGTTTTCATATTAGTATTTAGAAAAACGTTTCGATCAATCAGTTCGAATATGTGCTTCTATTACCTTCCTAATATATATGGTACGGTAAGATTCACTTTTAAGAACATATTTCATTTTATGATACCTATACAGTTTATATATATGGCTTTGGTACTCTATGCGCCAGCATTAGCACTTAGTCAAAGTAAATAAAATACGGATATAGATTATTTATTTTTAAAATTAACTTGTAGCTACTGGATTGAACAAATGGTTTGCAGTTATCTCTATTAGTATTGTTTGTATATTTTATTCTTCAGTGGTATGTATAAACACTGAATTGTATTTGAGCAAAAAAAAACAATCGAATAATTGTCGATATATATTTAGGGTGGTATGAAAGCAATTATTTGGACTGATGTTTTACAAGCATTAGTTATGTATGCTGGCGTTTTCGTTGCCATAATTCAAGGCAAGTTTATAGATCTGCAAATCTAAATTGAAAAAAAAATCACATTGTGAACATTTGCGCGTGTTCTTTCAACGAATAAAATTAATTGAGTTATAGATTTTTTAGGGATAGATGTTAAAGTGTATAGTTTGAATTTTTTACTACTAGGTTTAATTCTGGTTGGTGGTTTCGAACGAGCATTCACAATTGCTTCTCAAGGTGAACGTATTGAATTTGATAAGTAAGATTATGAAAAGTCAGTATGTATTGACAAAGATTATATACCTTTTCATTAATTTAGTATAAGTTTCGATCCAAGAACACGTCATACAATTTGGTCGATTTTAATTGGTAATTCTTTTAATGCATTATTAACTTATGGTTTCAATCAAATGCAAGTACAACGATATATGTGTGTTCGCTCGACTCGAGGAGCACAAGTCGCTCTTCTCATTAATATAGTCGGTGTCGCCAGTCTCATTCTTCTTTCATGTTTAATGGGTGTCATTCTTTATGCATACTATGCTGCATGTGATCCATTCACGGCTGGTCGCATTCAAAATGTTGATCAAATCTTACCATACTTCATTATGGATACATTAGGCAATAAGAAAGGTATACCAGGCTTATTTCTTGCGTGTGCATTCTCAGGTTCACTATCTACCATTTCATCTGGACTCAATAGTATGGCAGCAGTTATTATTGAAGATATTTATAAAGGACTTATGCGACGAAAACTAAACCAAGATCAACAAGGTTTTGTATCAAAATTATGTTCAGTCGTCGTAGGTGTAATCGTAATGCTTCTCACCTACTTTATAAGTTATTTGGGTTCGGTAATCAATGCAGCCATATCTTTGTCTAGTACTCTATGCGGACCCATTATGGGTGTGTTCTTTCTTGGATTTTTCTTTCCAAGAGCAAATCGATTAGGTGCTTTGATTGGATTTTTCAGTAGTTTAGCACTACAAATATGGATTTTTATTGGTGTACAATTGACAAAACATCAGAGGAGTAATAATCGATTACCATTGTCAATAGTTAATTGTACAGATATCAATGTATTAGAAATCATGAACAGCAGCCGAACAACAACAGCTGCTACACATATCAAGTAATTAATATTTAATTACATTGTATTTTGAATCAGTGTGATCTCAGATAATATAAGAAAGTGTTTTATGGTGGATAGGTACTTGATATCATATAGATTTAGAATTTATACGTCTAATAACTGCCTGTAGCATATTTTTATCTTGTTTTCAGACTCAATCCACTGCTGAATCTTTATTCAGTGAGTCACATGTGGTATACACCAATTGCTGTTGGTACGGTAGTAATTATTGGTATCATAATATCTTATCTTAGTCATCCTTTGAAACCACATGAAATCGATTCTAAATTAATTATTCGATTGGACGATATATGCAGATATTGTTGTTGCTCAAAACAACAACGAAAATCGACTAACTCCATCGTCTCTGGTGAAGTCTCTACCAAGCAACAGGTTCTATTTTCATGTTATCTTTTTGAATTAAATAGTCTTCATTATATTTTTTAGAGATCAAAAGATACAGATATAGAATTAACAACGTCACTAACTACACATTAATATAATTCGATTATATTATGATGAACAATGACATGTAAAATTCTTGATTTTGCGAGATAAATTTATTTGCTAAATATATCAATTAATCATGTTTTCAATAAATAGAACAGCGAGTGAAAGTAAAAAGTTATTTGGTAGATGTATTTTAATCGATAAAAGATGTGAATGAATAATTGTAATAAAAGGCATATAAGACATCTACAGTTTCGTCAATCTTTCTAATTCAAAATAGAGAACTAACTAACAGGTGCGTTGATGTAAAATGCATCATAGAAGATAACAACTAGAAAGATAAAGCAACACGCATAGGTTGAAACAAAAAGAAAAGTCTTATTTATTTATCTGCTGAGTACTTATTACATATTTTAGGTTATTATATTTTTCGTGAATAACAGTATATCTATTTAGGACATTTTTTTATCAATCATACCATGAAAACAAGATTACTATTACAATTACTTTGTGTTCTATTTCTTAATATCAAAAGAACTTATACAGTAGCTTTAAAATCTCAAACGAATACTGATAAAACTGTTGAGTATTATGCAAAACTTATTGTTGGTGATACGAGCAAACTTTCCGAATTGAATATGTTCCTGACAGCAATGCCAAAAGGTGGTGATCTACATCATCATTATTCAGGTTCGATCTATGTCGAAACTTATTTAAATTGGATCGCTAAACATAATTATTGTATTTATCGTGAAGATGATGCAACATTAAAAATTCAAAAATATAGAATAGAAACCAGAGTTTCCGAATTACCAGACGCAGCTAAAGCTTTGTGTATTACTGCTGATGCAACACGTTCAAACAATGGTTTTTATCGTGAATTACTAAAGCGTTGGTCTGATATTGATTATGCTAATCATTATCATGATCAACCACCGCCAGATCAACAATTTTTCGATACTTTTGCTTATTTTGGTCCAGTTTCCTATCAAGAATATAATGAAGGATTAACATGGTTAAAAAATACAGCCATGAATGAAAATGTACAATATATAGAAACAATGCTAACTAGTGGACCAAATCTAGCCGTTAGCGATGAATTGATCAGTATGGTCGATGCTTTAACATCGAAATCAAATGATAACGATATAGATAGAATACTAAAAATCTATTTTGATACAGTTGAAAATGATATTATAGTTAATACAACAATAAATAATCATGTTCAAATGATTGAGACAGCAGTAGATGGAATTAATGATGTTAATTTTACACTACGTTTTCAAAGTTATGTAACAAGAAGTAATACACCTTCTCGCGTATTTGCCAGTTTATTTTCAGCTTTTTCTGCTGCTATGCGTAGTGATTTAATAGTTGGTGTTAATATCGTTGGTGCAGAAAATGGTATTGTGTCAATGCGTGACTATACATTACATATGAAAATGTTTCGTTTTCTCAAACGACATTTTCCTAATGTAAAACTCGCAATGCATGCAGGGGAATTAGTATTAGGTCTAGTGCCACCAGAAGGTTTACAATTTCATATACGTGAAGCAATAGAAATCGCTGGAGCAAATCGTATTGGACATGGTATTGATATATTTTATGAACGTAATTCCTATGAACTTCTACAGAAGATGAAGGAACTCAATATAGTAGTTGAAGTAGTTTTTAGTAGCAATGCATTTATATTGGGTATTAAAAATGAAGCACATCCAATGTTAGTATACAAAGCACATGGTATACCTTTAGTCATTGCTACAGATGATGCAGGTGTATCACGTTCAACAATGACCAATGAATATCTTATGTTTTGCGATCGATATAAACCAAGTTATGCAGAACTTAAAACATTGGTGTACGATAGTATTAAATTTTCATTCTTAACTGAAAACGATAAAAAAGAACAATTAGAAAAATTAGACAATCGCTTTCGAGATTTCGAAGCAATGATTACAAATGTTGTTGATACATTAGGTTATCCAGGTATTCCACCAACTTCGAGTTTTGCATTCAAAAATGACGTTTCATACATGATTTTATTTTGTTGTTTTATGTATATTTTCAGTAGCACATCATTTTTGATATAATTAATTAAACTAGAAAATAAATCATATCGCTATTTGCTAACTTTCAACAAAGACATAGAAATATAAAGATTATCGAATGATTATCTGTTTTTCTTCAGATTACACAATACAACATTGACGTTACGAAATTTTTGCTCTACTGATATCTTAACTTTTATCTATACGAAGGACTAAAAATGATGCCGACGTGCATATTTGAAGATGAGTAATGAAAATAATATCACAGCATATACTCTTCCCTGTATTTCTACATTATTATGTAATACTTTCGCACGAAGAAATTCATCATCTGTTTATCGAAACAATTAGATCTACTATTAAATTTACCGATTAACGATATGCTGACTAAAAAAGATGTTTATATACATTACATTATCAACAACTGTAGTTTCAATATACATTTAAAACACAATATAGACTAGTGGAAGTAATCGTACTCACAGCGGATCGTTTACTCTGATTTAACTGATAAAGACTGTTAGAATTTTGCTTAATTTCACTTGCATAATATACTATATGATGAATCATTAATCTACGTATGTGGTCCGCTATGTCCTATATTTAGTCTCACACTTTTCATAAATAAATAGAAAGTGTAATACGAATACATTCAGTTATCTCATTTACATTTAATCCGACAATATAGAATTAACCACCTTCTAACAAATATCCACATCCTCAAAAATATAGATCAATGAATAATTGTATTTTATGTGAAAATCCATTCTATTAGAAATATTAATATTTTGTTCGTAAGCTCAAGGTAGTCTTGTGTAATCTGTTCTTTAACACTGTTAATTGATCGATGAAGAAAAACAAATGTCCATGCTTTAAGCATTGATTATTTTTGTTTCGATCAAAGATTAATCGTATTCTTTTTACAACGAGAGAGAGAAAGGAACAAAACACAAAACATTCTGCCTGCTTAACGGCAACAAATTATTGTCAGAGGTATTCAGTAGAAGGCTTGATCAATAATAATAACTAGTCAACAATTTTTTCTTTTTCTTCGTATTAAAAATTTTTAGATTTTTTCTCTATATGCTGTTTACCCATGTTGCGGTTTGTTGCTTTGTCATGTAATTATAGCCATTATTTTATACTCCAAGGCATTATAATGGCAATACCTGCATGATAATGCAACAAACTACTACATGGGTAATGTCTTTTATTTATTCAAAATATGATTAATACTGAGATAT